TGTTTGCATGCCCAATTTGACTGACTGTATAGTGTAGACAATTATAATGGGATTGGAAAGTTGGATTTATACAAACAATTTTAAAGTACTACTTAGCGTTTCTGTAAATGAAATATTTATTGTTATAGTAAACAGGTTACTACTTCAAAACCTAGATAAAAGTAGTGTGTTGAACAATGTGCTAAGATTTGTTTCTACCTTGAAACTTTGTTCAACAGTAGCTTATGATTATATCATTAATATGCATGAAAAATTAAACATATTATTGTCTCATCTCATCAAATCCATACTTGGTATGATTCCAGATGATCCACAAATTCACATCGGATGCATTGGTTACAATGAAGTTGAATGTAGAAGAAGCAAAAATAGATGGCAAAGAAATTCTTTGTGTCTTATGAAGAATTAGGAAAAATCAATAAAAAGAACTCTTTAAACAAATTGTAAACAAATTTAAATTTGCTCATGGTCAAGCAACCTAGTCAAAGAAGCAAAGTCTGTCTTCAACATGTGACCTTTCCAATTATTTAGTTTCTTTGTACAAAATACTATTTTCGAGAAACTTGATTTGTAAGTCTTTCATTAATATTTTTTTACCAAGAGATAAAAGGAACTAATTCAAAGGCTTGATGTAAAATACAAAGATTTAACAAGTTGTTTATCATTTAATTCCCAAATGTTAGTTTGTACATATAAATAATTAGTATTGGTAGCTGTAAGTTGTTTAAGCAAAACAGAAGAGTAGTAGTGCTCGAAGGGGTTAGCATTTTTAAAAAATTATATCTTGTTCATGACATATATTACACAATTCCAAAAAACTGTAAGTGATGCACAATAATATCTATAGAACTTGATAAATTTTTTAACCTACACTGTCAAATAACTATTTTGCCTTCATGCAGCAATAGACAGTGTTTTTGTCAGAGAAACCAATGCACTTTAGTTTCCAAGTTTGTAATTTCAATGGAAAATTAATGTAGTTCTGTTCAGTAATAGATCCAAGATTTTGCCAAGCTGTTTACAAAATACAAATTACCAAGCAACAGTGTCATGGTGTTTTGATTTTTTTTCTTTTTTGTAGCTCTTCTAGTTCAACATACTTTCTTTATGAGTTTTCAGTAGATTTATCAGGTAATGACAATACACTTATGATACTTATCCATGGTAAACTTTCAGTTGACTTATGTCGTTGGACTGAAGCAAACATTTTCTCGCTTCCTTAGGAGCATTTTTACACAGATTTATCCATTCGAAGCAAGAAAAATTGGTGCACCAAACTGTTTACAAACAGTCAAACACACAAAAGCATGAAATAATGTATAAGTTTGACGAGATTGACAGGTCTAGTAAAGAATGCCGTTTGATTTTCACTTTTAAAAGGCTAAAATGTCATAAAATAACTTAAATGTTACATCCAAAATATGCGTTCCTCTACCGTCGATCTTCTTTATTTTGATGTGTGTCTGTACTGTGTTTTTCACGCAATGCTGAAGCATTATTTTCACATGATATGCTGTCGGTATCGTAACTGTTTTTTTTCTCACTTGTTTTCGTTCATACAAACAGTATTAGAAATCAGGAGGGAGTGAACATTGAAAAAAATTTTTAAAGTGGAAGTTTTGACCACCAAAATCCGCCATTTCCTGCCATGTTTTTGACGACAGGGTCCAGGCCCCTTTGCCCCTCCAGGTTTTATAGAGCTCAATGCGGCCAATGGACCTATTTCCGCTGAAATGATCGCTTTGCAGAAAAATTATATTCTCGACCTCCCCCTGATGTCTATAGCAACTTATAATTATACAGCATTTTTCAAAAACAACCAAGATATCTTTTTTTGGCATTTCTTTTAAAATGCCAACACTTCAATCATTCATTTGTTGAATATCGTAGTGTCCACAAAAAGGAACATGTCGCTTTCACAGGTGAGATATTTGTTTTGTTTGTTTATCAAAAATTGAAAAGCAATTGAACTTAAAGCCCGAGCGATAAAATCCGACTGATGTTTTCCTGTTTTTTCTTTTTAGATATCAACATATTTTCCACTTATTTGTTAATGTGTGAGACCGTAAATATGTTTGACGCGAAAAGAAAATTCTTCTCTTTTTACTCAGTAGGCAGATACTATGAAGAAACGATCACCTCAAAGAGAACCCATGAAGTAGAGCAGAGTTTGTTCAATCAATTTGACAACATGAAGAGATGATCGGATAGCAAAATGTTTCTGAAAAATGCAGCAGTACCAGTACCAACACTACTTCATAAATCACTTTATTATGAGCTCATTTACCTAATAAATTACAGAATGGACATTTGCCATTTAGCTTTATTTTCCCTTTATTAAACCAGGGAAATGTTTTGTTTTTTCAAGTTTTTCTTCAGTTTTCTGCTTCTTATTCATTTTATAATATCAATGAAATACAGGTAGTGCACCTTAATAACTCTATAATTTCTGAAAAGCTGTTAAGCTTCTAGCATTAAGAGCACAAAATGTGTTTAATTCATTTGATTTTATTGCCTTATTTTTACATGTGTACATGCACTTCATCATTCTTGTATAAACAACACCAGATGTGGCATACTTAGAGGAAAAATCCCATAGCAACTGGTATTAAATATGGGTATAAAATTTATTATTGAGGTGAAAGCTGTATTAGTCAATCAAATTTTGAACTCACATGGCTAATACATAAAAAAGAGAAAAAGAAGAGAAGTATTAAATACACAATTGCGTATTCATGTTTTCAAGTGTTATAAACACTATTGTAATTTAAGTGTTTTAATTATTTGCATTTTTGCCATTTCACAATCATTACTACGAAATCAAATATGCTACAACTTGACAAGTATTTGATGCAGTTCTTGTTCAGAAGACCACAAAAATCTCAAAGATTCTCATGATTTGTATACAATATCTTTTTCATTATTCATTTACGAAACGCGAGATGCATGTACAAAAACAAATCCTACAATTGTTGCGAAAAAGGCCATCACATGAAAGAAAGCAAAAAACTAATGAGAATAAATGGGCTAACATTTCTCTCGTGATCCGTGGGAGATAAAATTTGATATATTTTTGTTTCATTACAGACTACAAACTTTGATCGAGCAAATCATTAAACGACAGTTACGACGCGCACATCTGCATTCATATGTGGCCAACAAATAGTTCGTTCGTTAAAAAGGCATCCGTCGTAGAAGCCGACAACTGGCAACCCAGTAGACTCGCTTTTGAATTTTATGTTTTACAGTGATTTTCATCATAAAGCTTGCCAAATATGCGAAACACATATACTTTTTCCTCACTCTTTCTCAAGGGGAGAGAGAACACGAGATTTTCAGAAAAGCAGTCAATTTCGGAAATCTCAGCAGTAATGGAACAAATCCTCCATTTTTTGCGTCAGCCGCTAATTAAGCCGCGCTTGGAATAACCGCTCCAGTTATTATAGAACTCAATGGCGTCATCTTGTCGAATTGAAAGTTCAACATGTTGAACTTTGATATTAGTCGCTTTAGTCGCTTTACACTGATTGGCCAATAGATAAATTTTAACTTCTTAAATGCATATCATATTTCCTGTCATAAGCATCATACGAAATTTATAGATTATACCTTGGAAAACGAAGGCGGTATATAGTGAATTCACATTGGAATCTTTCAGATTTTTATATGATTTATCAAATAGGGACAATAGGAGCTACAAACTGGAACCCTAATGCACAACCTAAACGCACAGAATAAGATTGTCCACAATATACGCGTAATGGGCTATGGTCATATTTGCGTGTTTTAACTGGCTTGTTCTCTTTTCTCCACATAGTAGTTTGTATTGAGTAAATATTCATATATTAGTAGCTATAATAAAGGCCAAAATAAAAAGTTTAAGTGATGTCTGTAACAAACAGAAATCTTCGCCATGTTAAATAAACGCAACGGTAAAAGACGCGATGGTCACTGCATGTGTGTTTCTGGCATTTAAGCAACTGACGCGTGCGCATCAATTCCGCTTTGAACGCGCGACTAAAACCACTGTCTAGTGTGTTTTAGCATTTAGACATTACAACAATAATTTAGTGTAGAAATACAGCATGAAGTTAGCACAATTTACAACCATTGAGAGAAAAAGAACTTTGTGTATTTGATGAACATAAGTCAAGGAGAATTTGTATTTTATATTACATCTTGGACATCACAACGACAATTAACCGTTGTGTGATTATATTCTTAAATTGGTTTTAAAGAGAGAAATGAAACCAGAAATTTAAAAATTCATCAAAATATATCTTAACTTGTAACGTACCTTTATTGAACTTTATACTTCACAGAATCCCCAATACTTCAATACTGAGAGATATTCGAATAGACAATATCTTGTCAAGATTTTGATCTTATCCGCTATCCGTGTTCAACCGAAGGAGAATGTTCTCTTTCTATTGTACAAAGTTTCTATTTTCCTAATGAGCGGTTTGCTAACGAACATAGACACAATCATTAAACAGTCATGTGCTCTTTTAGAAGGCGGAACAAACAAAATAAGTACATTGGTCACGTGACTAATACTCTGTTGATGTCATTTCCTTTTAACAGAAACAAATGAATACCCCTCCGATTTAACATTCTATTGTAAATGAATCAAGGGACATTCAGCGGGGGACTTGCCCTCATGTGTTTATTACACATGTGAAATAAAACTATTTTCACTTTCCATCCCTAGCAAGCAGTGTACAATACCTTCCATTAGCAAATGTAATAAATATTTTATTGTTGAATTATTTTCTCTATTTGAATAGGAATATCCTGGTGCAAAAGATCTCTGTTTTTGGAAAGTTGGGGTGTCATATCAAGGAATTACTACTGTTTATGAAGCATATAGAGAAAGGAACTCAAATTTCTGGTGAATTAATTTTTGTGTTTAGTTATTTTTGTAAGTTATTTGATGAAGTATTCATTTTATTAATGCACTCTACAGGTGACCAGCCATATCTTGGTAGATAGTTAATGGAAAATATTCATGGTTAACACACAATCAGGTAGTTCTCATATTTACTACAAACTATATATTATAGTGCCTGGAAGTCCTTATGAGTTATAGTTTGACCAAATTTTAGGTGCATCAAAAAGCACTTGCTCTGGGATCTGGGATAATGGAACTTGGCTATTAACCATCAACTGAAATGACATTTGGCATTTATGCTGTGAACAAATTGGAGGTTTCACACATTATGATTTTTGACTTAGATTGGTCATATTTTGATCTGTAATGTTTTATTTTATTTTCAGTGGATGTTAATAGACAGAGCCTGTGTTATGTTTTCCTTTGTATCAGTTCCACTGTATGAGAGTTTAGGTGTTGAAGCATGTATCTACATCATTAACCATGGTATGTTTACTAAGAATGTTGCAGTTACTATGGTGATTAAGAAACATCTGTCGATGACACTTGATTTCAAATTATATTCAGCTGAGTTATCATTAGTTGTGTGTGAGTGAGAACAAGCTGCCAATATTATTGGAGTCAGCTCATCAATGTCCTAAACTCAAGCATATTATAAAAATTGGTGATGTGACAAAGGATGAGAGAGAAAACTTTAAAAAACTTGGAATAACTGTAAAGTCATTTGAAGATGTTATTGTAAGAATTCTTTGTTGGATTTGGTTAAGTTACAAGAATTTGTCAACTTTAATGATTTGTGCTCCTTTCTTATTTTTTAAGTTAATGGGACACTGGAAACCTTGGAAAATGTCTGTATGTTATCGGCTTTCTGAGGGATTTTCATCTTATTTGTTTAAAGTTGTATTTGTTCAAAATAATGGGATTTTTGTGGTGATTTATTTCAGCCTTCTAAACCTGACGATGTTTACACAATTTGTTTCTACAAGTGGTACCACAGGTAAGATTTATGTGTAGTTTTACCTTGGGGCTGATGAAAGTAGGGAGTAATTTGCCATCATAGGAGCTACATGGTTATGAGAGCACCTGGAAAAGCAAGAATCCAGTTTTCTAAGGAAATAAAGCCTTCATTTGATGAAACAACATGTTCGTAACGATTCGTCATTGCAAGAAAATCGTTGTAGAAACTAATTTTCGTTTAAAGCGCTTTGCTAAAACATTGTATGTAAATATTAGCATTTTTGTAAATAATTATTTTTTTTGAGTATTTTTCTAAATATGTTAGTTGGGGGGAAGGGTTGTAGAGGGTTGCCGCGAATCTTTGATCCGCCCCTGATTTTAGGAGTCGTACCCCCAGGTAATTCTCTTAGTAATAGTTTCACCAGTGGTACGTAAATTGAACTTTGGTTATGACGTTCATTTTTAGGGCAACCAAAGGGAGTGATGTTGAGCAACAAGAACATGATATCCTGCCTCGCTGCAACTTTTATACATTTTGAGAAGGTTTAGTAAAATGAAGATAGTATCTTTGCTGTGTTCTTTAGTTTCTATTTCTCCATACTTTCGTCTTTAGAACGGCTACCCAGTAGATTCAAGCTTTGTTCACATATCCTATCTTCCGCTACCTCACATGTACGAGAGACTTGTTATGGTAACTGAAAAATATTTTACTTCCTGGTTTAAGTTGTTCTTTTAAGCTAGAGATTTTTGTATTACGCCGTTGTCATTTGTAGATGATTATTTGCTGTGCTGGAGGTAGAGCTGGGTTCTTTCGTGGTGATGTGAAACTTCTTTGGATGACATCCAGTTATTGAGGGTAATTCTCTTGAAATTCATTCTTATTTGTGGATCACTGTAAATCATACAATATAATGTGTGATTAATTTTTTAGGCCGACATTCTTCGCTTCAGTTCCTCGTTTGTTAAACCGTCTTTACGATAAGGTTATTCAATGTAGACAATCGTTGTTTGTTTGTGTGAAAGATTTATTGTGCTCATTTGTCTGTGATTTTAATTGTGCAGGTTATATCAAATATTGAAAGTAGCAGTGGCTTAAAAATGGCTGTTTTACAAGGCTTTTGAGTCGAAGAGAGCGGACTTGAAAAGTATTCAATAGTGAATGAAATAGCTGAATCATTGTGAAAATCTAAATATATTTATTTTTCACTGTAGAGGTCAAATCTCCAAAATACTTTGTGGGACAAAATAGTTTTTCATAAACTTCAGGTACGATATAACGTACAGGCTGTTACGTCACCGGTGACTATCTGTTACGTCACCATTGACTACCAGTTACGTCACCCGTGAGGGCCATTTACTTCACTGTTGGGGGCTTGCTTCGTCACAGGTAAGAGCCCGTTACGTCACCGATGAGGCCCCGTTACGTCAACATTTTTATACTCGTAAAACACTTCATTCGTTTCATTAAAAAAGCTTTTATCATGTTTCAAGGATATTGAGATCAGCGATTTTCCTTATATTTCCTGCTAATTGTTTTACTCTCACCTGGCCAATGATATGTAAATTCCATTTCGCTGCACCGGTCACTCCGTCATTCTTTCCAGGGGACTGGTATTGAAACTTACTGACAACTCTTCTTTACAGGCAATTTTAGGTGGAAATGTAAATGTCATTCCTCACAGGTGCTGCTCCTATTGATGAGTAAAGTTTTAGAGTTTTTTAAAGTCGTTCTTGGATGTTTGGTTCGTATTTATTTATGACATCACGTTTCAACTGTGTTACCATGGTTACATCTTATTTCTCTTTGTATTTAGATTTTTGAAGATTATGGTCAGACTGGAGTCTACAGCACTTGTTTCTCTGACAAATAAACTTGATCTTTCACCAGGTACTACGTATTTCCCGTATGAACACTTCTGTGGTATACATTTAAAATGTAATATTATAGGCTTGATTGAAAGTCAATATTAAGACATGAAGACCTAGAAATGCAGGGTTGCGTGGGGCCTAGGTCTGAATAGTTGATTTGAAGTGTTTTGTCATCTTTATTTATATATAATGAACTATAATATCACAGAAATGAGCTAAAAAGAGAACACTTAATATTCATCTCTATTGTTAGATTGTCACAATTACCTATAAAACCCATTCATATTATCTACGTAGGTACCAGGCCCTGCAGTTATTAAGCTTTATTATTGTAGTCATCGGAGTTTTGTAATTATTTTCTAATTAATAGCGGTACAATGTTTCCTAAGTATTTTACACAATTTAGAGTGGAATAGCTCACTGAGATTTTTTGCTCATTTTATATTTGTACAAAGTGACCCTATCTTGTACATGTCTATACCAACAGGTGACTATATTTTATCATGTATGTACCTGGAGTCGTTGGATCACCTAGTGCCTGTAACTATGTGAAACTTGTTGATGCTTTTAGAAATGAACTATTTTACTTCAAACAATCAGAAGCTGAAGTAACAAATCTTGTTTTATTTTTCTACTTTGCTAATGTTATGTTACGATTATTGCATTGAAAGAATGATTTTTGTTTTAAGATTTGTGTCTATGGTCCAAATGTCTTCAAGGGATATCTTAAAATCTGACAAAACATCTGAAATGTTAGATGATGATAGCTGGTTGCATACAGGTGATGTAGGAGAATGGAAACAGGTCAGTTGAAGTTACACTGTGTAAAGGATGTAAAATAAATATTTTGTTGATATCGAAATTAATGTGGGAAAAATGACGTTAACTTGTTGTTAATTTTTGCTAAGACACTATCTGTAAGCGAATTCAGGAAGATGATAACTAAAAACAGACATTTGACTTCAAAATTTTTACACACCAAATACGAAACAAGTTCCTTTGAAAGAAATTTATTATAATTTATTATAATATATTAATATTAATTTGTTTCTTTAAGAAGGAAACGATAAGAAAAAATATTTTGTTATCATGAACAGTTTTGTATTATCATTACTTTCATGCAAATATAGCAATTAATACATTATCTTTTACTTAATGATTAAGTATGTGGTGAGGTGCTCATAATGTTTTCTGTTTTGTTTTATAGAATGGAACACTTAAAATAGTGGTAGAAAAAATGTATTTTTAAGTTGTCGCAGGTTTGTAAAACATAAATGTGCTTAACCAATATATATTTTGTTTTTTTATTTATCTTATTTGTGATTGTGCCTTTTAGGGCAGATATATTTCTCCTGATAAAATTAGAAATGTTTTACATCAAATGTCCTTTCGTCGCTCAGAGCTTTTGTACACGGTTCTAGTCTTAAGGTACTGGGGCGAATTATTCCGAAAAGCATAACGAACTTTGCTTGAAATTTTGATTTTATTCTTAATTTTGAGATTTGGATTTGCTATAAAAATTACGATATCTTTTGCTTGCTGCTGAGATCAAAATTCGTCTCAATTCACTAACTTTCTTATGGGTTGAGATTTGAAATAAGAATTGCTCTCTTGATTTGCCAGTCAGGAAATGTGTTTGTTCAGTAAAATTGATGAAAATGTACTTGCATTAATTTGGAATATTTATTCGCTTAAAATGTTTGGCTTTGATTTTTGATAAAAATAAGAGATGAATTTATGATTTCTTGTTTGCAATCTAGCATAATGTAATCTTTTCAGCCATTTAGTCATTTCTTATTTGGAATCATTGTTTCTGATGAAGAAATTCTTACAAAATGGACCAATGACAATAACATAAACAAACAATTTTAGAGAATTATGTGAAGATACGGTACTACATTAACATAGAAATTCCACATGTTTTCATTGCACATTCAAGCCCCTTTACTTTTATTACTTCGACTTCAGATAAATCAATGTATGATTCTGAATGACATCATCTCAGAGGAGAAAGGAAACCAAAGTTGGCGTCGTTTAGACAGTTTTACTCGATTTTCTTATGTAGTTTTATTTCACCTCATCTTATTTTATATCATTATTTCAGGTCAAAGGAATTCATCTTCATTGCCAACTATTTCCCTCCAGATAATGGATTACTAACTCCAACACTTAAAATCCAAACCTTGATTTACTTTGTGAAAAGATTTAATGATGAAATTGATCGTTTGTATGAAAAATTGGAAGATTCAGCGTAAGCCGAAACTTTAAGGCTCATGGCTGTTTAGTTGGATTTATAGTTTTGTTTGATCGCTTGATTCTTCAGGGGTAAAAATAGAGTTGAAGACAAAGGGTTTAAAAACTTGTTGCTCTTAAATTAAATTTTAAACGTCAAATTATATAAAAGAAATACAAATAATATAACGAATAAAGAGCGACTGCAGACATATTCTTTAATGGAGGTGGTATGGTTATTGCCCACTGAATCCTGGAAAGTTGTTTTGCTAGTATTAGGGATTTGGCAGCAAAATTCAAAATGGAAGCAAAATTTTTTTGGGCACTTGGACATAGCACAGCCCCCTCGCTCCCTGATAAATGAATGCTAATACTTTAAAAGCATGGAACTAAGTTTAGGAAAAGATTAAATTGATTAAGACATTGACCGTGTTGCATCGAGGGTAGTTCAAAATAAATTATAGAAGCTTATTTTAAATTCAAAAGACTTTTTTAACAACATTAAAAGTTTATAAAGAATATTTAAGACTAAAATAATCCCAATAGGATTCGCTCCAGAGAATTTTGAAAATGTAAATAGATTGTAATGTATCCTGACCATCCATAGATCCGCCACTGGACCTAAATATTGTCGAACTAAAAATGTACGATGACTTGCAATATTATTCATGTTATGCACTTTAAGTAGCAATTTTTACTACTAAAGCAATTTCTAGGAACATTGCAAATCTTGAGGTGCTTATGTTGAAAATATATTTATTTGATAAATACAAAATAAAAAAGAAAACATTATTTCCAGTAGATTTGAGGTTGCATTTATAGCAATGTTCACTGATTAATTTGATGTTGAAGATTGTCGTTAAGATGACTTTTTTCAATACGACGGGTGGGTTAAGTCGTAGTGGGTGATATTTGATTTGAATAAGATTATTTTTTTCACTTAATGTCCACGGGTTCTCAGAACGAAATGACTCTTTAACATCGATAACATCAATAATTGTCTCAAAACGATTTTCTAAACATTACTATAAATTTTTAAAAAGTGTAAAAAAGGTAGTTTTTCCATTATGTTTTTTTTAACTAGAACCACAAATAATAAACATGGTCTCAACTCTCAACAATCATCTAAAAACAATTTTCTAAACATTACCTTAAATTCTTAAAAAGTGAATGAAAGCTAGTTCTTATTTTGCTATAGTTTTCTGAAATTGAAAAACACAAAAATTAAAAGAAAAAAGTATTAACGACAGGTGTCGTCCTTGACGGTAGTGATCAACAGTATGGGAAGGTATCTTTTGAACGGAAGACACATATCTAATAATACATAAAAGATAAAAGTTTCTCCCGATTTTAAGTTATTTTTATTGAGCTTCCTCCTCATTCTGATAAAGGCTCGAAGCAAGGAGTCAAAAGCTCATTAAAAATCACTTAAAATCCGGAGAAACTTTTATCTCTTATGTATTAAATGCCTGGATTACAAATTTTCAAACTTATATCTAATAATCTATACAATTCACTATCCGCCAACATTTGCGCATTTTAACCGGCAGAAAAACTTTAATTTTATGTGTATGCTCCCTCAGTCATTAAGCTGGCTATATGAACAACCTCAGTTACAATGTTTGCTAAACTATTGAAAGAAATGCTCAGAAAATCACTTTACATCTTTGAAAGATTAAAGTTGAAAACGTTCTTAAGTTCTGGATTGTTTTTCAATTCATCATCTGACCTGACAGCTGCGTGCACCCGAACAGGGAGATTGGGGAATGTTTTGAGAAAATAGTTCTTGGGATCACCAATCTTATAAAATGGTTCTGGTTGTGGTCTTGGCCGTGGTTGATCGTACCAATGTTGGCCAACATATCGAATAAGTGAATGTTTAATGCAGTGCGGTGTTTGAAATTAAATGAGATATGATCTTCGCACTTAGCTGGACAATTTAAGCAATCGTCTCAGGACCTGAAAAAATCAGGTGACTTGTTAAGCGTGTCTTGCAATAATTTTTTGCAAGCTTCATTTTCGAATTTTATTTCCTCAATTTCACTTGAAAGACTGTTAATGTGCCCTTTTAATTCTTCGCGTAAAGCACGGTCGTTTGTCCACAATGTCAAAGCTGTAAAACAAATTTAAAATGGTAATGATGGAAATTAAATTGAAATTCAAAATTTATGTCTTTGTGAAAGACCGATATTAGCAGGATATATTTTGTTGAAGCTTCAAAAGCTAGTTTTAAGTTACATACATTCTGTAGATTATTCAAGAAAATCAACACAGTGTCATAATAATTATAAATATACCTTGATTTTTCCAATAATTTATATCATTTAAAACTTTAGTTTCTAAACACAATTCTTTCACAAGTTGCTTCATATTGTCGATTTTCTGGTGAAAATCTGTTCCACCAAATTCCAGAAAACTACAGTGAGCCCAAGAATTTCTATCATCTCTAACGATTTTTGCCGCATTCTGGACCAGGTTGGAAAAAATTGGGATCCATTCTAGTAAATTAAGCACTGCTGATGCGTCACAACTGTCGTAACTGTTAAACTTTGCCATGTTTTGAAGGAAAAGTTTTCCAAAGTCGACATGTGATGTAATTTTGTAGTTAAACTTTTTCTTATCCTTTGTTTCATTATTGTTGATATTTTCATAATGTAGATCGTGGAGGGAATATTTTGGTGAAGGAAAGTTGTGAATCTTTTAAACATGAATATTATGAGATTCCTTTAATTTATCATACTCATTTAAAATGTTTTTTTCAAGATGAGGTCGAACAGCTGGGATCAAAACATGATTGAGTACGATTCCATAAACACACCATCGTTTTTCATCGTCATTTAACAACGTTGTCCTATAACGATCATCATTAATTATTGAGGGAAAATTGAAATACATGCACATAAATTGACCACATATGAACATATAGTGATACATATGATTGACAGACACTTAGCTATAAAAGAATATTAGCTAGCACGTGATAAGGACAATGTATGTGAGTACTTCATGTAGAGGCGTATTAAAAGGAACTAGACAAGGAGCTATGTTTCATGAGTTTAAATTTAATTTTAAAAATGATTTAATTAGAAAGCGTAAAACTCAGAAATGTATTGTTGGACAAGATCATTTAATTTGATCCAAGTTCATCGCAATATACTATTATATAAGCAAATGATGGTGCAAATGTGTTATTACAGTTGATTTTTATTAATTTGCTCTTAGATAAAACGATAAGTTATGAGAAATTCAAAAATTTGCGACGCATTAATTGAAATTAAGACAACTTACATTTTTTCATTTCATCAAACTTCATTAATGATTATTTCTCCATAAACTTTAAATGCCATAACAAATAACCATCTCCGTCGTAAAGTTTAAATTTACCTGTGAATATTCAAGGAAGCCATTTAATAAACAATATAGACTTAGACATTACAACATTAATTTAGTGTACAAATACAACATGAAGTTAGCACAATTTACAACTATTGAGAGGCAAAAAGAACTTTATTATATTTGATGAACATAAGTCAAAGAGAATTTGTATTTTATATCACATCTTGGACATCACAGACGATAATTGACCGTGTGTGATTATATACTTTAATTGGTTTAAAGTGAGAGAAAAGAAACTAGAAAATCATCAAAATATCTCTTAACTTGTAACGTACCTTTATTAAACTTTATATTTCACAGATTTCGTTACAAAAATCTTGTTAGTTAAAGGATTGCTCAATAATGAACAGTGTTTTTCTACGTGGCAGTATACATAAATTATTATGATAATGTCAAAAATCAGTGGGAGATAATTCAACAATGCCTTACTACGAAACAAACAAAATATTTTACATTCATGATCTTTCTGTGATAGAGGATAGAGACATTTTTGAATTATTATTGCATAATAATAAACTGTTGCAAAAAAACTGATGTGCATCACGTCAATATCTGAGTGCGGGAATATCTCTAAATAAAAGATGATTCATGCACAGGGAAAGAAACTTTTCCGAAAATTTAATTCACCGCAGAAGAACGAGTTTCAATAAACTCATTTATTAACTGACAATTATCATCTCGTTAATACACTTCATCAACGAATATTAATAGAATGCCATTTAATTTACTGTATTATTTTGAAGGTTTTAAAAGGAAAAGTTTAAAAGTTGATTTCAAGTTCAACCACAAATTGTTTGATATTTTATGTTGGAAAGATTTATTTGCGCGCTATCCTTTCTGTTTTTGCACGTTTTCTGACAGCATTTTTTGCATTGGAATTTGGAAAAACTTTTCAATTCCCTCTCGACTGCTAATACTTATAACCATTTATTTTTTGTCTTCTTTTTGATCTCGTATCAGCCTGTTTCAACCTTCTCGTAATAATAGACGTGGTTACGTAAATTCTTCTCATTCTGGTACTTCTCGCCTTAAAAATTACAGACAAATTTGCAAATCTAATGCAAGTGTCTGTATCCAGGATTTATCATCGGGTAAAATCATTGAGTAAAATATTGGACAGAAATTAAAGCAGACAAACGGAGGACATTATCTATGATAGCCATGTGATCATTCTCATGTAATCTTATTTTTCTAGTCATGTTAAGGCAATGACTTCAATGAGATATTCGAATAGACAATATTTTGTCGAGATTTTGATCTTATCCCGTCATTCGTGTTTAACCGAAGGAGAATGTTCTCTCTATTGTACATAGTTTCTATTTTCCTAATGAGCGGTTTGCTAATCATTATTCATCATGTTAGATTTAAGCCTAGGCCACACTATCGTCCATATCGACGAAAATTAGAACGAAAACCGCCGCAACGAAAACTTTGAACGAAAACTCGACAAAAATTTCGTTATAAAGTAAATAGTTTGAACACATTTACAAACACGAAAATTTCGTTTTCGTGCATATTAGAAGAGTTGAAGTTTTGACCTTTTTCGTCAAAGAAAACGCATACTATTGGTTAGTAATATCAGACTTTGTACTCAAACATGGCGGAGTGGCAAGAGGTGGTATGTTTCGCTGCCGGAAAATGGCATATACAACCACAAATACAACCATCCGACTGGTGCAGCTTAAAAAAGAAATTTCAGGGCTTCCATTTACTACATGTTTCAAAGTTCATGTATGAGAACAATATTTCTTCGTGTATTCATATTTTTTAGGAGTTTGCAACATCAAAGCTCGAAGCAAGGCAATCGATCAACAGGGCTCAGTCACTCAGTACTATGCTTAGTACTTTTTTAAATATCTATCGGGAAGTCTGGCTGGGAGAATGGTACTTAGACTAATTCTAGGCTAACTTTGTCAATCCAAGAACACGTGCAGTACTGGTTTTTATAAATCGGGGTATTATTTTTTAGGTACACTTGCAAAATGTATCAATTCAGGAAGAAATTCAGACGCTCAAATGACTTCTTTTACAATAACGTGGAGAGGAAAGGAAACACACAAAAAGATGATGCGGTAGGAATTTTTAAAGTGTTCTTTTTATTGTTTCTGGTTGCACAATTTCATATTAATTTATATTTATTACTACAGTTATATTAACAAAAGTATGTGTACAAATTTATTTATGCCCACAATGTTGTGTAAGGAAAAACGATTATTCTGAGCACATTTTCCAATTTCAAGTCTGGATTCTCTACATCCTTTAATCACAATGTCATATATGTTAATAGAATAGCAGTGTGTCATATGAATCTCAATTTTTTGAACAGGAAAATGAATTTGGGGATTTAGTAAGTTTACATATATTGTAAAACTATGTAGATATAAAAATACGCTATGTTTATGGGTTTTTTTCATTTATATGTAGAATGAACAAAGTGAAGATATTGCTGAAAATTATGACAAGCACCAAGAGTTAACCACCAAAACACAGGTTTTAATGTACATATTGATATTGTTTCTCATGAAAAGTCATTGGAAATGGTTATATGTAGGACTGCTTTCACTAGAAAAACTAAAAATTTTGAAGTAATTTAAAGAAGGCATGCATTATTTCAACACTTATTAAAAGTCTGTACACATTTTAAATTAAATAATGGTCTTTATTTGTAGGATTCTGAAGATATTTTTACCAAGCAATCTATCTCTATTATTACAGAGGAATCTAAACAACCATGTCAACATAGTCAAGTAGTTCTCACTTATACAGTTATACTTTATACTGTTTACCACTAGTCATGTTTTTAATGTGTTATAAATTGACAATATGCTTGTTGATTGCTTATGCATGAGACACTGTGTAGCAAAACTTTATTAACATCTCGTAGAAATGTGCTCAACAAACATAAAAATATATTACAATAGATATTTTGAAACAGTGAACATTAATAATTACTGTATACTTGCTCTTTCAGAGTCATTTGTCACCCACTGGCCACTATACTGGGTTATTGTTACAGTTTGACTTTGCATCAAATGTATCACGTCAGCAATCCTTTGTTGTTCATGATTATAATGCAAACAAAAGAACAATTATGGTGATGTCAAATTTTATTTCCATAATTTCAATGTTGGGTATATACCCAACTAAATGATATTACTCAATACTCTTTTTTGGTGCTATAACCTGCATGTATTTTTTTCTTCAGCATAATTCATTTGTATTTGTTCATTGATATCCCCACCTATTGCTTGATGGCTACGGTTGGATATTGTGCTGCTCATGTGATGCAAATAGAAAGCAATTTGTTGAAGCCCTACCTAATAATATACAATTAGATCCTCAAAAAGGTATGTAAAACAGATGTTACTGAAATGAAATTATTAAAACAGGCCAAACAACATTTTTATACTTGTCAGATATACCATATCCCAGTTGCATACACATATTAGCAAAGGAAAAATATCTGGTTGTGTATGATAGAAAGTTTGGTATTGAAGCCAAAGATTTTATTGAAAAAAGTAAGTGTTGTGTGTTACTCTTTCAGGATATAAGGTGTCTGAACAGCTTCACCAAATTTTGACTTACACTTACATACTATTTGTTTGAAGACCCTTGTCAAAGATGTGAGAACTTGTTACATATTAATCTGACATTGCATGAAGTGAATGTCTCAAATTTGTATTTGGCTTATTTTTTCAATGTAAAGTTCTTCATGTTGTATGGGAGGAAATGTCTTCATCCTTAAATATCAGTTTATTGTACATTTCAAACCCTTGTGAAGTCATCCTTCTGTGTTTTTACAAGACCCTTGTTCGACATTGTTCTTATTACATGTGGACGTTAACTAGCATAGCTTTACAAGCAAAAATATTGTTAAAACTTGTGAATGATTATTTACACAACATATTTATCTCATCCAATTTCTTTTATGAATGTAGAATCCACATCCATGATGCAGTCTGTTTTCAGTGATCATTCCTACCATGAGATGCGACCTGAAGAAGTATATTTTGTTATGTGAAAATAACTTTTTAGTACAAATACACGTATAGTTTCTCAACTTTCTAATACCCCACAATTTGTTACCATACATCCTGTGCCTAAGTTCAGGAGCTTCTATAAAGCTATTAGGGTGATAACCAACAGGGCAAATTGAATTTATTTATGACTATTGAGGTATACACATTCATACTCAAATACATACATAGCCACATACCTACAGTACATACATTAAGTAGTTTAAACTAAATGTATGATAAAAATAGTAAAGTCATATTCACCATTAGCTTTACGTGCCTGATATAAATATTAAGCACTTTCTAAGGATTTTGTGAAGTCATAATTAATCATAATTATTAATCTGCATACACATACATACACACACATAATACAACCTTAAGATAAATGATTTTACATATTTTAGGACTTGTTTAGTGCAGTGTGAGTCTGATACTGGATTGCTAGATGGAAGATAAGTATTTTTGAAGTTTATCTGTAATATATAGTATATACAGGTCTGCTAATTAGTAAATACGAGTGTTCATCTACGTATCAGAAAGCATTTTATGCATGATGGTGACTTCTCTCACTTTGTTTTTGTACACAGCTTATAGTTATAAAAATAACAACCTGTTTTCTTTTGTCCAATACTAGGTTTGAAATGCGCAATTTCATCAACAGGAGAAATGTGCGAGCTTTATTGAAGAAGTACAGTGATTCAAAGCTAAGTTGGGACGAATTTCAAGAATTAAAATCTGAAGTAAGAAGAATTTATTACCCCACGAGTACAAAATTTTGTATGACCACTCCAGAGCTCATTTTATACTATAATTTCTCGTATTTATAGATATCTTCAAAGAGGCTTAGGACTCTACTTGAATGGTTAGAGAAACAAGGATTCATCACTAGTTGTCCAAACTCGTGCAGAAGGTTATTGGCAGCATTGGCTTCTGACAAACCAGTATGCGCAATTGTGCCCCCCAAAGAAGAAGTTTTGGACCTCTTGATAAGGATGTCTGATGGAGCCAATCCAAAAGACAATCCTTCCACTGATTTAAAACTTCTTCATGAAGAAGTGCCCCTACTGTTTAACGTCATTGAGACTAGCGAAGAAATTCCAATTACTATTCAACCGCTGCTAAAGGAATTGGTACAAAAGGCGATAAGTCCGTTCGAGGTCAAGGACGGTCAGTGGCGTTTGCCACACAACTTACCTGCGGTGTCTCAAAATTCGTTCCATGGATATCTACCTTGTCTGCCAGAACTGGTTCAACGAGGGAATTATGTTCTTGACAATAGGAAGACACAGCAGGGAGATTGTGCCAAAGTCACTAGACCCAAGAAGAAGCATGGCACTTTGATCCCTGGAATATTTTGTATTCTTTGTCCCCACGGTATTTACATGATGAACAGCTCCAACGAAAATTTGTTTTACTATTGCAGTGACATTGCGCCTTCGTTTTTGTTTCCAGGTGTACGTTATGGATTCGAAATAATGAGGGATCACGAATCACGAAATATCCCATTTACCATTTTACGAACACGTTTTCCTGATGGTAAGTTACGTATGCGTGTACCTTTTATGGTGCTACAAACAGAGTATTATCAGTGAATCGGACAGATTGCGTGACGGTTTAGTCGCCTGACAGAGTTGTAACATAACAGAATGTGCAGTAACATAACCGAATGTGCCTGATGATATGCTTATGTATTTTTATTTCTTTAGCGCCAGAGTTGGTCATTTACGATAATGCCTGCAGATTGCACGAGTATTGTTTGAACTGAGATCCAGCATTTTTTAAGAAAACAAAATTTGTTGTTGATAAGTTTCATTGGAAAAATCATTCAGGTAAACTGCCATACTCTTCCTATTTTACATGAAGCGAACTTATTAATCCAAAAATGGCCGTTTTTATGTTTTCACAAAATTTGTTGATTTATAACTGTTCTTTATGTGTAGGATGCGGCGAAGGATATAACATGAAATTGTACCCCACGCTCAATATGTACAATAGCCAAGCTGCTGAACAGTGCAATTCGTGTATTAAGCCTCTTGCCTCCATGGTTTCTTACATGGAATACGATAACTTTTTTCTTTTTACAAAACTCCATATTTGGCACAGGAATATGTTACGCATTGTTAAATACAATCCTGAGAGAGAAATAGCCTACAAACACTATTTTCTCACTCTTAGTCGTGTTATTCATTAGTAACGCGTTATAGTTTCGTTTTTCGAAAAATTTAAACTTGTTTTTATGAATAGTTTTATCTGTACAAAATATTACTTCATAGTTACCCATATAGTTTCTGCAAAAGTAACAATTATATGTAACGTCGTTACTTGTAAAAAAATTATTTACATCACTTGTTATAAATATAAGAATGTTATTCATATGCACTAGCTTTAAACTTAAATTCTGCTTCATTACAAATTGCTTCGCTAAATGGCAAAGCTTCGAATCAGTTTTTTAAGGTATGGTCTTTTACTATTTACATGGATATCGACAAGTAATCCAGGACCAACTTCTCCCTATCAAAAACAACACTATCTTTATATGAACAGAGTAAACAAAGTGATTAAGAATCATGATATCTTTTCTCAACTTTACCCCCTCTGTTATTCTTCTCGCAAATTCTGTCACGAATATGCCACAGTCATAACCATTTGCTTGTTGTATCACCTGTCGTCGATAGTTAAGTTATCCCTTTGTGACAATTTAAGCGTGATCTGTTGCCATTGTAAATGATAAGTACTTACGTCGGCATATATAGGTTGGGAAATTTGAGCAATGTCTTCTGGCCATCTTTGCTCTTGCCTCACATGCTGAAAATATCTTTTTCACAAGAAAAATGATTTGTGTAGACGTGCTAGAAACATTCACTTTGTCAACATGTTAGATACATGATACACTTCATTCTTCAAGTAAATTGTTATGTACGTCATATACCTTCGTATACTGGATGCAACTTCACTTTTTTGCCACCCCATACTGCATAACACATAGAGTTTGCCTGCTCTAATATTGTATGCAATGAGCCACCAATGCAGCCTATATTTTTTAAATGAACATGGAGTTGGCTCATGTTGGCCTTTGCATCATGAAACAGTAAAAATTTAGTGCTTCCACCCTTACATGTCACATATTGGCACTAGCACACATTCATGTTTATTCATTTCTTCAGGTGTGTACATCCCCACTCTTGAAATGAAACATCCTGATAATGTCAGCGGTCTTTCTCCTCTAAAAAGTAGGAAATACAGCGATGTTTATTTACACGATTTATGAGTAGTTTGATAATGTTGAAAGTTGTGAATATTTTACCAAAATTTGCTACTTAAAATACGTACGGAGGTCCATCTATTGACAGTTTCTGTTGAAAAAAATTGCTAAATGCGAAATATTTTGCATTTCTTTTTTCTGCTAATTTACAGTAGTACCTATAAATAAGAATGTAAATGTTTTGACACATTAGCCATGCATTTAGAGTGACTTTCGTCCTTTATTTCAGCTACACCTAGATTTTTGAGTAGTACCTTAACAGGACGTCTACGATGGTGTCGCATACCCAACTGTTATCATTTAGTGTATTCAAATCTCTTTTGTAAATGCTTATACCATCGAAACAAGCAACTCTGGAATCAAAATGAAAACGTGTCAAGAATAAAAGGAGTCATTCTTATTTTCTTTATACGTGTCTAAAATATGTTTTAAAACAAAAAACTCTCATTTTCTCCATTCCAAGTTCTCCTAGAGAAAAAATAAAAAAATACAAAAATCTAAATATACGTTTGGCACAAAAGTTTAGAATCACTCAGATTTTTATTTGGCAAGAAATGTTGGGAAAAAAACCTGTAATTTAAACTTTTATGCTGCGTTGGGTGTCGAGTTTGTCGTTTTTCCCATTTTGGCTCCAAGAATGCAAACAGGTCCTTCTTTATTTTACAAAGAGTAAAAGCCACACTGCCTACTCCTTGCATAGCTTGGCAAACACACGGTAGATATATTTGAAGTGCGTATCTTTCAAGTCAACATCTATGAAAAAGTTAATTGAGCTTTTATCAGAAAGGCATGTTATATTTCTACCACATTCTTTTAAACACTTTAACACTGTTAGCATTCTCATCACTCGTTTAAACTCAAACTGACCGTGTCTCTCTAATAAAACGTTTTTACGACCATGGTTATATATGCCGAAAACTGGCATACTTTATATTTCTACCACATTCTTCTAAACACTTTAACACAGTTAGCATTCTCATCACTCGTTTAAACTCAAACTAACAAGGTCTCTCTAATATAAAGTTTTTACGACCATGGTTATATATGCCGAAAACTGGCATACTTTATATTTCTACCACATTCTTCTAAACACTTTAACACTGTTAGCATCCTCATCACTCGTTTAAACTCAAACTAACAAGGTCTCTCTAATAAAAAGTTTTTATGACCATGGTTATATATGCCGAAAACTGGCATACTTTATATTTCTACCACATTCTTCTAAACACTTTAACACTGTTAGCATTCTCATCACTCGTTTAAACTCAAACTAACAAGGTCTCTCTAATAAAAAGTTTTTACGTCCATGGTTATATATGCCGAAAACTGGCATACTTTATATTTCTACAACATTTTTCTAAACACTTTAACACTGTTAGCATTCTCATCACTCGTTTAAACTCAAACTAACAAGGTCTCTCTAATAAAAGTTTTACGACCATGGTTATATATGCCGAAAACTGGCATACTTTATATTTCTACACATTTTTCTAAACACTTTAACACTGTTAGCATTCTCATCACTCGTTTAAACTCAAACTAACAAGGTCTCTCTAATAAAAAGTTTTACGACCATGGTTATATATGCCGAAAACTGGCATACTTTATATTTCTACCACATTCTTCTAAACACTTTAACACTGTTAGCATTCTCATCACTCGTTTAAACTCAAACTAACAAGGTCTCTAATAAAAGTTTTACGACCATGGTTATATATGCCAAAAACTGGCATACTTTATATTTCTACCACATTTTTCTAAACACTTTAACACTGTTAGCATTCTCATCACTCGTTTAAACTCAAACTAACAAGGTCTCTCTAATAAAAGTTTTACGACCATGGTTATATATGCCGAAAACTGGCATACTTTATATTTCTACAACATTTTTCTAAACACTTTAACACTGTTAGCATTCTCATCACTCGTTTAAACTCAAACTAACAAGGTCTCTCTAATAAAACGTTTTTACGACCATGGTTATATATGCCGAAAACTGGCATACTTTATATTTCTACCACATTTTTCTAAACACTTTAACACTGTTAGCATTCTCATCACTCGTTTAAACTCAAACTGACCGTGTCTCTCTAATAAAACGTTTTTACGACCATGGTTATATATGCCGAAAACTGGCATACTTTATATTTCTATCACATTCTTCTAAACACTTTAACACAGTTAGCATTCTCATAACTTCCTTAAACTTAAACTGACTGTGTCTCTCTAATAAAAAGTTTTTACGACCATGGTTATATATGCCAAAAACTGGCATACTTTATATTTCTACCACATTTTTCTAAACACTTTAACACTGTTAGCATTCTCATCACTCGTTTAATCTCAAACTAAAAGGTCTCTAATAAAAGTTTTTACGACCATGGTTATATATGCCGAAAACTGGCATACTTTATATTTCTACCACATTGTTCTAAACACTTTAACACTGTTAGCATTCTCATCACTCGTTTAAACTCAAACTAACAAGGTCTCTCTAATAAAAAGTTTTTACGACCATGGTTATATATGCCGAAAACTGGCATACTTTATATTTCTACCACATTGTTCTAAACACTTTAACACTGTTAGCATTCTCATCACTCGTTTAAACTCAAACTAACAAGGTCTCTCTAATAAAAGTTTTACGACCATGGTTATATATGCCGAAAACTGGCATACTTTATATTTCTACCACATTCTTCTAAACACTTTAACACTGTTAGCATTCTCATCACTCGTTTAAACTCAAACTAACAAGGTCTCTCTAATAAAAGTTTTACGACCATGGTTATATATGCCGAAAACTGGCATACTTTATATTTCTACCACATTCTTCTAAACACTTTAACACTGTTAGCATTCTCATCACTCGTTTAAACTCAAACTGACCGTGTCTCTCTAATAAAACTTTTTCACGACCATGGTTATATATGCCGAAAACTGGCATACTTTATATTTCTACCACATTCTTCTAAACACTTTAACACAGTTAGCATTCTCATCACTTCTTTAAACTTAAACTGACCGTGTCTCTCTAATAAAACGTTTTTACGACCATGGTTATATATGCCAAAAACTGGCTTAGTTTATATTTCTACCACATTTGTGGAAACACCTATAGATGATAATGCAGAGAAAAGCATAAACTCTACAACGAACCTTGGTCTGGAAGCAACTTTTATAAACCAAAATTTCTCACAGCAAGTCTTAAAACGCTCAGAGGAAAAGGAGAAGTTTGATAAACCAAATCCTTTCATTCTGATGATAATGAAGAAGAAGAAAAGGTGGCATCCGTTGGTTACAGGTAAATTGTTCTTGTATAAATATCGTTCTTCTATTAAGAAGAAAAAGCTCGTTCTTCCATTAAGAAGAAAAATGTGATAGTGTACAAGATAATTTTGACTTTCATCCTTCGCTGTGACCTTCCCTTGCAAATGTTGTATTAATCTCAACCAGTGAAATCATTCGTCTCTTATTTAGATATCGTAAATGGAATCTTGGCAATGATATAGAAATTGTTATAAGATGTGAACATGATGCAGTATTGTCACCTGGAACTTACATCAACATAAAGGCTCTAAATGAATGGGAATCTAAGGTACATTTATGTATGTGTAGGGAGGTATTGGTGAATGTTGTCATTACGTCATGTATGTATGTGTAGGGAGGTATGGGAGAATGTTGTCATTACGTCATGTATGTATGTGTAGGGAGGTATGGGAGAATGTTGTCATTACGTCATGTATGTATGTGTAGGGAGGTATGGGAGAATGGCGTCATTACGTCATGTATGTATGTGTAGGGAGGTATGGGAGAATGTTGTCATTACATTATGTATGTATGTAGGAGGTATGGGAGAATGTTGTCATTACGTCATGTATGTATGTGTAGGAGGTATGGGAGAATGTTGTCATTACGTCATGTATGTATGTGTAGGGAGGTATGGGAGAATGGCGTCATTACGTCATGTATGTATGTGTAGGGAGGTATGGGAGAATGTTGTCATTACGTCATGTATGTATGTGTAGGGAGGTATGGGAGAATGGCGTCATTACGTCATGTATGTATGTGTAGGGAGGTATGGGAGAATGGCGTCATTACGTCATGTATGTATGTGTAGGACTGTAGGGAGGTATGGGAGAATGGCGTCATTACGTCATGTATGTATGTATGTGTAGGGAGGTATGGGAGAATGGCGTCAAAAGCTAGACAGTCAACGTGGAGCTGTCTTGGCTACTGAACTCAAGAACAATGGCTGTAAGCTGGCAAAGTGGACTGTTGCGTCTGTTTTGTCGGGCTCTGAGTACTTAAAAATTGGGTGAGTATTGCAATTTGCAATGGAAATGATAGTTTTCATATTTATTATCTTCTGCGTTGTTTTTTAGTTTAATTTTTCTTTGTTTCAATTTAGTTACGTTTCACGTAAAATTTTATGGATTCATCAAAGCATTGCATTCTGGGTACCCAGCAGTTCAAACCACGTGAACTTGCTAGTCAGATGAATCTCAGTATGGACAATGGTTGGGGAATAGTACGATGTATTATTGATTATTGTATGAATCTTGAAAAGGGGAAATATCTTATTTTGAAGGATCCTAACAAGGTAACAAAGGCATTACTGAGCTTATAGTTAACTGGATCGTTAATCTTTTTTTTTGGCAGCATTCGGATTCAGTTTAGTTTCACTCACGACAGTATTTCTTTGTTCTGGAAATGATGCATATTCATTATCCTTATTTATCATTATTTATCCATTGGGTATCCTTCTTTTGGGATGATTCGTATTTACGATATTCCCAACAACACGTTTGATTCGGAAGATGACGATGATGACGATGATGAAGAAGAAGCTGATGATGAGGATGAAGATGAACAAGAGGAGGAAATTGAGGGTATGTAAGAACAATGTTTTGATGTTTAGGGATAAGTAGGAGCATACGAAGCTCTGTTTTGTTAGTGAATCAATTCTTACTCATTTTTATAGCAAACATTTGATGATGATTTGTTGCTGAAGAATAAATTCAATTTCTATGAATTATTACAAGTACATGATTTTTTTTCTTGAATTGTGTAATTCAATATAAGCTTCAATTATTTGCTTCGAAATAAAGATATCTTGAAATGTTCACAAGCGATTGTTTTTAAATTCCATATTGAGACTTCTTAATCAAATATCTCCATAAGTTGAATGTGAATGTCTTAATGGATGATTAATAAACATTCCTCACGACTCTACTCTTACATGGACGATTTACATCTACAAACATGTAATTACCCTCAATGACGTCATGTGGTATTTGGTTTAACAGAATTTTGTTAGTTGTAATACAGCCAGGGGCGAAACTAGAACGTTAATTGGAGTGGGGGGTTAATATTCATGTATTCAGCTCTGCTCTGCTGACTTCTTTTGAAATTAACATCGCAAACAAAAGAAATCAGCAGGGCAGAGCTGAATATATTAATATATACCCCCCCCCCCAATTAACGTTCTAGTTTCGCCTCTGAATACAGCATTGACCATGAACTAACCATACAGCATTGACCATGAACTAACCATACAGCATTAACCATGAACTAACTATAAAACAATGTACTCATAGTTTAGTCTGATAAATTTTGTGATTTGTTAATATTTTATTTTTTTATTTCAGTGATGTTCAATAAGTGAAATTGGACAAAAGAATTTAAAAACCTTTTGATTTTTACATTTTATCGTCCGTTATTCAGAATTTGGAATCTCTGTTCATGGGTTTTGATATAAGAATTCGATGAAAAATTTTTTCTAGCGTTGATTTATCTCAGTAAATAACTTTAAGAAATTACTGCATGTGTCATGTTCTTCATGCATTCTTTTGCTGAGGTATTATGGTGGGCACTGGGGGTGTCATTTGCGACTCTCAGTGTGTACTCTCTCATCCCCACTCACCCCCAACGTTCTCCCTCTCTTTTTGACGTCCTTCCATTTGCCTCAAATATTTCATTTACATCATTTCCGTTGCCCATATTGGTAAATTTCCTTCATTTGTCTTCTTTTGTGAACTGCTTCAATAATACTGTCGTGTATCGTGGATATTTTTTACATGTAGAAAACACTTTGTATTTTCTCATAACTTTCTTGATGCTAGCATGGGTGGTGAAAGTTGATATGTGGTGATATCAAGCGATCATAAGGTACTCGTATATACATACTTTGTTAATGTCTAATTATTTTTAATTATTTTTCTAATTGTCCGACAAACGAAACTATTTTTTTTTATATGTTAGTTCAGTGGAGATTATGTTGAACTTGGCAAGTGTAGATATTACAAAGCAAGCAATTATTGATCGCTTGTTGGATGGAGTAAAGCAAGTTAGTTTTAAAATATTTGTACGTAGTTTAAAGTTCGAACTTGGAACTTGTAATTCCGTTTCGTCTTTTATTGTATTGATTTTACTCCAATGATTTCGTCGACTTGAACTTCGTCGTTTCTTTAGTGTCAGGTACGATTTGGTAGTACAACCGAATTGGCTTCTGAGAAGGATAGCAGGTGAACTTGATATTTCTTCGATTGTATTGTATTGTATTCATTTTATTTCATAGTATAATCCTTATTTATCATAATCTTCGTATTTATGATGAATTACAGAATCTCTTGTCTTTGTGAGCAATGGAACATTGTTCTTCGATTTGGCATTAAATCCACAAAAAAGATAAATTCTTTAAGGTATATTCATGATCCCTCTCTCAATTCAGTCAATTTAAAAGCCATTCTTAAATAATTTGTTTTCATCATTACTATGTTCATTAAAGGCAGGTGTTAATGAGATCTGAAGGTCAATCTGTGTTCTGGCTATTTATCAAGGAACATCTTAGCTCTAGTGAAATAAAGACATATAATTCTTTACATAATGTAATGACAGATGTTGGTAGAGGTTAGTCAAGTTGTTGGTTTCTAAATGATTCCAGGAATGTTTGTGGGTAAAACCTTTTGTATGCCATGAATTTGTTCTGACATTTTTCTTTCTATTTTTGATATTTATTTGACAGCTCAAGCATGGCTTAGGTCTAGTTTAAACGAGCAATCACTGGAGAAATATCTTCATAGCTTCATTGGGCATAAACAATTGCTTTTGTAAGTTTGATTTAAGTAACATTTAAGAAAGAAAGATCAATCTTGGCTTGATAAGCTATATGATTATCATAACCAATGTATAATGCGATATAGTAATGGAGTTTTCTTTTAACGGTAAGCTGTTGATGTCAGAATAATTATACGATGTGTAATTGTTTTAATTTCAGTCAGTATTATGAGGAAGATGCATTGTTATTGGATGATGAACGATCTAGTATGTTACCAATGATGGCTGCTGGTAAGAATAAACTTGTTTATATTTCTATAATGGATTTTTTATCATTCCTTGTTTCTTCTTTAAGGCTTAAGTTCAATTCTTTTTGCAATTGACATTGACAAAGCTGAGCTTAACTCTATTACTGTACAGGTATGCTGGAATGCTATTGATATTGTTTAAAAACAAATCTTTGTAAATAGAAATGGATAGTAAAAAAGAGGAAGCTATGAATATACTTTTCTTTAACTACTTGAATTTAATTTAATTTTTAGATTCCAGGAAATATCAGCCAAGCAGTTTCTCGTCCAACATCAATATGGGCTGTACCATCACCAATGTATGCGACGTCAGGAGCTCCTGGTGAAGTTTGTTAAATACAACATTTTAAGAAAATAAAGATTAGATCAGAATTTAATTTTTCTCTCTTAATCAAAAATATCCCTTTTATCCCTAATTATCCCTACCATTCATCTCATATATCGCTAATCTTATCATTCCTTAACCACACATGTCATTTATTCCTTGTAATCCCCCAACCATGCGTTCTCCTTAACCTTTATTATCCCATGTCTACATGTCTTCATTTATCCCTTAACTATACTTGTTGTTTATTCATCCCTTATCATCCCTTAACCGCGCGTCCTCATTTATTCTTTATCATACTTGAACAATGCGTAGTCATTTATCCTCACGCGTCTTTATTAATTTGTAACTTTTATCTTTCTTATGTGTTTCAGGAAAAGAAAAGAAAAAACGTAAAAAAAAGAAAGCAAACATTGCTCAAATTGAAAATGTTGAATTCAAAGAGACGGAAGAAGGATCTACTGTCAGTTCTCATGGTAGTTCTTCCACGACAACGACTGCTCACGATAGTGCCACGAGTTTTACCCGAGCGGCATACGACATATTACAACGTAATACTGATTCTCAGGTACATGCTCGTGGTAACCATGCTTTCACTAAAAGGCCTGACGATTTTCTTGAAATGCCAAAGAACTCTCAGTTGGCTTATTGTTCGAATTCTGAGAATTCAAGTCTTTCTTCCACAATGGCGAAAACCAACGTTGAGAACAAGGAGAATGAAACAGATGAACAAGTGGCTCGATTAACAAAGAAAAGCCAGGAAGTTCTGCATCTTAAAACGAGTTTAAAACTGCGAATGATTTGAAAAAATCATTCTTTGACAACATCTTTGCAATCAGGGCATTACACTGACTCATCGCTCTTGTCGGAGGAAGAAGTGTGTGAGCCTCTTGTTGATATGAACAGCGGTGTATCTCTAATTCCCGTAGTTTGCCCCGATGACGATAAAGGAGTTAGGGTCTAGCTATGTCAGATGAAAATGAGCGATTTACTGTTGCACCTGAGACGTCGCGACATTTAGTTCATTCAATAAATGATTCGCCCGTTTCAAGGTTAGAAGATACTTCATTATTTTATCGACAAGAATGTCTAACGAGTTCACCATTTTAACTGAGGTGGTAATTTATGTTGTTTTCAGTATTTACACTGATGAAGACGTCGAGAATGATGCAAGTTTAGCAATTGGAGCAACTGTTGCAGCGATATGTGCCACACGTGATGGTAGCATAGAAATTAATGATTACTCAGGATCGTCATTGGTCAGAACCATGGGTGATGGTTGTATGAATGTTAGTTAATTATGAAATGCTTTTATCTTTTTGAGGGAGGGAGGGTAGAAAGCCATGTGTAAATATCTTTGTTATATTTAGTTCGTTATATTTGGTATGTTTTCGTTCTTTAGCCATCAGAGGAATATCCATCAGGCAAAGAAATGACTTCAGGTTTGTGTGTTTTTCTATTCATGTATTTAAATGGTTTTATTTCTTATATCTTTTGAAAAATGTTTTGGAACGGAGAGGCACTTTTGCCTCAGGTTCTCAAACTATAAATGGGCTATTAGCAGGTAGAGTTAGTTTTAAATATAGAAATATTTAGTGCAATTGGATTTTACTATTTGTATCGTAGTTGCTTTGCTTGTTTGGAGACATCCGTCAAATTTCATCATGTGAACTGAATATTTGTATGTGTGAATAATTATAATTTCATGAATATCAATAAATACGTGGTTTTATTGTTGAAGAGGAATTAAAACAGGCGATTGTATCGATGATGTTAAGAAAAGATGAAGTTGAAGAACGTAACAGGTTGTATTATCGTCCTTCGTTTAATATTAACATTCCATTCGAATATACACTATTTTGCCCTGATTTTTCCTTCGATCATCTTTCCTGTAGATCATTACAACAACATTTGGAAAAGAGATGATGAAGTCAGCTTCTCTTCGTCTTCAATTAGAAGATTTAAAAAGAGATATGTCGTCGAAAAATGAAGAAAATTGCGTCGCTCTTAACGGCTTAAAAAGGTTAGGACATTGAGAACTCTGCATTTCCGTTAATCATAGATGTCTGTTGACCTGTTCGTTTTTGCTCTTTAGTGAAAATGATTTGCTCAAACACCAACTAAAGAAATACGTGGGTGCTGTTCAATCGTTGAAAAGAAATGACATTATGGAAGAAGGTTTACTATAGGGATAGTTTATCTTTAAAATAGATGTAGAAATCTAAGAGATTCGATAATCTTTCGTGTAGCTCCAGAAAATGAAAGAGTTTCTTCCATCATTCTTTCTCCGGAATCTGACGTCGACGAAGTGAGGTATTTACCGTAAATTTGTAGCAAAAGTGAATCAACGGCGTTGAATTTCGTTCCTTTTTCTTGTAGAAAGGAAGAAAACAAAGATTTTGAGCGGAAGTTGATCCAAGTAAGATTTCCATTAAACCATAATACTTTTACAAATCGAAACATTTGCCTTAAAAGGTTTTCATGTATCATATGTTCCATGAAGATGAGCCGAAATTTATTTGATAGAAAACTCTTTTATACGATGCACACGGTGACTTTAAGAAATATCTAATACAAGAAGATATTTTAACTTATGAAAACTGAGGATAAATAACTGAAATGAAATCGTGATATATGTTTAAAAAAACTCGCCACTCTGACTGGTTTCGCGTTTCTTGTTCATCCCTGGGGAATTTCATGGTGATGACGTCATGGCGTAAGTTGTGATGAAATGTTGTTTATCATGTTTAAAGGTTGCTGATATGCATGGCGAACTTATTGAACTCAATGAAAGACTACAAAAAATGTTGAACGCTCGTGAATATCAGCTAAGAATATTAAAAGAAGAGCTTGTCAATCTTAGAGGACCGGTATGTTCAATAAAGACCCGTGTGTTCATTATAGTACAATAGATGTACAATATTGATCGGTATGTACAATATGAACTGTTTGGTATGAATATGAAAAGCAGTAAATATTCTTTTGATTTTCTAAATATTTCTTAATAAAACTACGTATCTTCGTATGTTCTAGCTTCCTCAGGACAATAATCATGATGAATGTTTATATTTGACGGAGTTTGGTCCAAATTTCATGTCTGTCAATACTCGTCCTTTAATTAACATTTGGATTCCATATGTTTTTGTACAAGGAAAGTCTCCAAACATTCACCATTCTTATCAGGTACAATTTTTTCCATATATTTATCTCTAAAAAAAGTAAATAACTCTTCCGATGTGATGTTGATGGTTATCTGGACTAGTTTAGGGATAACTAGGGACTATATTTCAAGGTTTATGATCTATATTTGGTATTTTCCTCGTTTCAAATACATCACCCTTAAGAAAAGTGTTTGTGGTCATCGTATTTAAAAGATTATGCCGTAGTTTAAATTTACTGCTCAAATATTTTACTTTTCATATGTTTAGTGGTGTTGAGAAAAAATCACAAAACTACAGATTCATCCCGACAAGCCTGTTTCGTGACTTCTCACTCTTCAGGGATTTTCCTTTAATCACGAAACAGGCTTGTCGGGATGAATCTGTAATTGTGATTTTTCTCAACACCACTAAACATATTTACGCTCTGCTCTCGGGCATCGAGCACTGTTTTATACGGATTTATACTGTTTTATACTGTTATATATATACAAAGTGTATATACAATGTGCCCTCCCGGCTATCACCATATTAAAATGGTGACTCCTGCACTTGGGACACAGGATGTACAGTTACACATTGTATGGATTGTATTGTAGAGTCACCACAGTGCTAATATATATATATACATATGTATATCATCTGCTCAGTGGTCCAGTTATTATCGTCAATAAAGAATTTAACATTGTTTACTTCACAAGGTATATATCCGTATCAAAGACGATGAATGGAATGTGTACAAAAGATACTCGTATATATATGCCCTACATAAGATGGTTTTTAATAAACATCAGTATTTTAATTTTTTTAATCATATTGTTTTGCCGTAATGTACAATCCCTTCCTTTTCCTTTTTATGCACAGACAAGCAAGCAGTTTGAACCTGTTGCACAATTCACGTTTCCCGCGAAGAAAATTATTGGAAATCGTGACGTCAATTTTGTGGAAACACGTCGAAAACAATTGGAAAATTACTTGAGAAAATTGATCAATTATAGTCTGAGTGCTGTTCCAGAGTTAGGTGAAAATCCTTGCAAGAGTTCTTTGTTCAAATACTTTCCATTTTTCATGTGTGTAAACACGTGATCATGTTTGAGTGTAATTTATTGTTTAATATACAGAATATTAAACGATTTTTTAGTGTTAATGTTTGTAAGGCAGAAATAGACAGAAAAAATTGAAAGTCAAAACAAGAACAAAAAACCATCAAGCGCATGCGCTGATTGGTGTGAAGCTGTGTTTTCATTAGCTTGTGCAAACCGATCTGAGCTCAACAAATCAAATCAATCAAAGAGAATTCGCAAATCAATCATGAATACATTTTAGAGGAAAAATTAAAACGTTTGTTTTAAATTTGTGTATTTCGCATTATTGATATTTTTTTAAAAAGATATTTTTCGTGTTTGCACTGGCTTATGCAAACCTCGGAGACGTTTGTAAGAACTCTTGAGCATGTGCAACATTCTACCTTCGGTCTTGGGCTTGCACTGAGCTGCTCTCGAGTTCTCTCAAAGTTCTCCTTGGTTTGCATAAGCCCGTGCAAACACAGTAAAAATCTTTTATTTCGTAATAATACAACACAAAGAACTCAAACTTTGCCTTGTTTTAAAAAGAAAATCAAAATGCTACTACCTATTATTTCATAAATAGTTTATCAATTTTTCTCTAAACTTTCAGCAAATCTTTTACAGGCAAACTTCAACGGTATCATCTGTTTCAACGACGACAACGACAACACAAACTGTTCCTCCTACACATAAAGGTTAAAAGGTAAAACTTGTAGGATATCTGTCGAAAAAAAAGAGCATAGAAATTGTATAAGTTATATTGTATATATATAACATACGTATAGTTCAGTATATATAAATATAATATGTCTACAAATTAGAAGAATTTCCTGATGCATCAACTTCAAGGACTCTTTATTGTATGTGTTATATACAGATATTATTTGTCAGTATTTTCTACTATATAATAGTACATCATACTGGGTTTTAACAAGTTAAAACATAATATTTAACTTGAAATGAAAACAATCGTATATTAAATACATCACACGAAACCTACTATGCTATTAAATGTTGTGCTATCTCAGCACGATTTGATCAATTTACATATCCCACGTCACCCAGCTCTTGCTGGCGAATGGTTATACGACTTGACACGTGACCAATTTTAATCAACACGTCATATGACTTTTTGCCGATCTTTCACGCGCTATGTGTAAAGAGATTTCTTGCTGAAACAATCTTTATCGTAAGTATTACGTAAAATATTTCATTTGTAAGTTTCAAAGTATTACAGTGAGTAATATAACCTTTTTATTTCAAAGAAGGGTAACGCATACAGTCGTTGCTGTAAGCATTGTACAAAATTTCTAAGAATAGGATTTACTACTTCCTACATGTATGTATTGTAATATGAAGATGTCTTCAGCTAAAGACGAAACTTTATAGTTGTAAAATTATACAACCATGAATATACATACATTCTCATAATATTTTTCTATCCAGTTCATTCCTTTGATGTGTGCAAAACTAGTTGGTCAGCCTTCATTTACCATTGAAGACCTTTGTATAATTTCAATAACTGTCACTACGCCAAGCCCACAGGTGCATGGAACATTGTTAGCTACGTTTATGCAAGCACAAATGATTTTCCTCCATTGAAAATGTAATGCACTAGTGAGGTTAGCACAGTGGTTGGGTTTCGAAATTTTACAGTAGTTTAATTGCCAAACGTCGTTTTTATGTAGAATGCTAATTAAAAGAGATCAAATGTTAATGCTAATAAATACAATAAGAAAATGAGATGAAGATAACAATCTCGAGGGTTTAACAAATCATTTTTGACATCAGTGGACCTTTAGAATTTGCATGATTCAGCTGTAGTTGTTCCCCAAGGAGACTTAAATGTTTGGGATTTGCTATTTGCTGTAGCTGAAGTATACGTTTTTATTTATATTGTATTAAATTGCATTTACCGTTCTATGGGGATTAATTACTTCTAAGTGATGAATCATGCAAATTCTAAATTTCACAATGTACAATTGACGACACACCTGGTAAATGACCAATCAGAACACAACAGTTTAGGACACACCTAGTAAATGACCAATCAGAACACAACAGTTTACAACACACCTAGTCACTGACCAATCAGAATACAACACGTTTGTGAAACTTGGGCCATAGTCTAAGACTAAGAACGTGCCATTTGAACGTGAAAGTCTGCAGTTGCACTAAGAACAGTTAGCCGAAGTCGAAATTATTCCACGGTGAAATATCTCTTGGAGTGCTTTGAAAAAATGTTCAGGTAAATGTGTTGTTTCAAGTTCTTTTGCATTGAGTAAACATTGAATTGGGACACTGCATGTGATGTTCATTAATGCAAAGTGCAGTGTGGCCTTCCCATAAAGTTTCCGTCTTAGTAACTTTTGTTTCCTCTATGCTTGATTTTAGACATGGACATGCTTCTCTTAAACGACAATTAGTCATCAAATGAGATTGAGAAACAACGAACAAATGTTGGTGTTATTACCATGATGGTGGACTCTACAATTAAAGAAAGTGGTTATTGTTCACAGCGGTTGAAGAGAATCGTGGCTGTTGTCGACCAGTTCCTTGACGCTCATCTAAACATAAGAACATAGTAGTGTGAACTGACATTGGCTTCATTTGTCCTATGTAGAAACCTTCTTATCAAGAATGGACAATATACGTACTTTAATGAAATCCTCTGAACAATGATCAAGAATGAACAGCATACTTTAATGAAGTTCTCTGAAGAATTCTCAAGAATGAACAATTTACTTTAATGAAGACCTCTGAACGATGATCAAGAATGGGCAGTGTACTTTGATGAAATCCTCTGAACAATGATCAAGAATGAACAGCATACTTTAATGAAGTCCTCTGAAGAATGATCAAGAATGAACAATTTACTTCAACGAAGACCTCTGAACAATGATGAAGAATGGACAATATACTTTGATGAAATTGAAAAACACGTGACTTCTAATGTCTTAAAGACCATCTCTACAAAGAATGCAAACGCTAAACACTCTTCTGGAGCAATGCATCCATCAGCCTAACGCCTGTTTCCATGGAAAAGCCAATGTTATGACCTTTTCTAAAACATTTTCCTGGGAGTTTTCCTGCTAACATCACGAGTGGTCAATCAATCGCAATGACGGATAAAACCACGCTGCTATCAAATGCCCAAATTTCAACATTATTTAATTGAAAATTTTAGTAATAAAAACATGGAATTTCCTTAACATGAAAATAAAAAACTTAAAAATCCTAATTTTCCGACTGGCTGTCGATATTTCTGATTTAATGCCGTAGACGACATGCACAGTTGCAAGAAATGGCCAATCTTGTTTCTGTGCTTGCCGTCGTCGACATAAAAGCGGTGATGTTTGTCAGGTAGCCTGAAAATTGGATACGATGGTTTCACCATCAACGTTCTGAATTTTTTCAAAAAATTATTTTGGACCTTTTTGTGGCTGTCCTTGCTCAACGTCCGATCGTTTCATCTTCACAATTGGCATGAGATTTGTCATTCATCGTAGTCTGTCGTCGAACTGCCAAGGATTCGTCGAAAACCGTAAGTGTAATAATAATAAACCTTTTATTTAGTTAGGCCTGTTAACAGGTCAAATCTCTAATATAATTCGGGTAATAGCCACAACAAATCCTGGTGTTCAGTTTATTCCACTGTAAAGCCTGTTCTCCACTAGCCACGTATTGTAACGTATCGTAGCAAAACGTAATATGGCGCATGCGTGATTGAGCGTATTGACCATCAAATTCACAATCACGCATGCGCCATGTTACGTTTTGCTACGATACGTTACGATACGTGGCTAGAGTGGAAAGAAGCAGTGTGCAAATTAGTTCTGAAAAAACGATGTGCAATTTTTTTGACAAAAGTGTTTCTTTAGAGGCATAATCAAATCGATATTACGTTAATTATTACATAGCGCTAATTGCAAAATTAATATTTTTAAACCTGAACAAATTCATATGATTTACGACAGTGTTTTTCGTTATAACCGCTGATTTTTGCACATCGTTTGAAAAAGTGATGTGCAATTGTTCTCATTTTAGCTAAAACGATTTGCAAATTGCACATTGCACACTCTAAATTTGCACACTGGAAAGAAGGCTTAAGGCTATTTTTTAATGCAGGAATGCAAATAAATATATTTAAAGAAATTTACATCTGCATTTTCAAAAATATTCTTGATTAAGAGGTAATAAAAGTGTCCATGAATGGATATGGTTCCACTTTACAATTATCGTTATTTAACATCGGAATTATGAAAATTCCTTGAAAAACAACAATGTTGGATTTTTTAAAAATATTCTTGTGTATAGCTACATGATAGGATACATTTTGTAAAAAGTTTAATTAAGCAAGTTCAAGTCCATCTGTATCATTTATTATCCAAACGTTACCACATTTAGAACAATTCCTAAGTATTATTTTCAACAGGATCATTCTCTGATTCTTCAGATGCATTTGAGTTCTGTAGTTCAACAATCTTATTATAACAATCAACATTCAACAATGTTGTTAACTCATTTTAGAGCGCTTTCATTTTCTTACTTTACATTTCTTCAGTAAAATTTCCCAATAATCAATCACGTGCCCGCGGTGCACGCTGGTATTAGCACGTGTCTTTTTCTTCCTTCTTTCTTTTTTCGACGCCATCTTGAAGTGGTCAAGATGCCTAAACCAGTTTGTTCGAAGACTTTCACGACTCCTCGTCGTCCTTTTGAGAAAGAACGCTTGGATTAAGAATTGAAGATAATTGGCGAGTATGGGTTAAGAAATAAGCGCGAAGTATGGCGTGTTAAATACACTTTGGCTAAGATTCGCAAAGCTGCTCGAGAGTTGCTGACTCTAGAAGAAAAAGACCCGCGTCGTTTGTTCGAAGGCAACGCATTGCTACGTCGTCTTGGACGTATCGGGGTTTTGGATGAAAGCCGCATGAAGCTCGATTATGTTTTAGGCCTTCCTATGGAAGATTTCTTGAATCGACGTCTTCAAACTCTAGTTTTCAAATTGGGTCTGGCAAAATCTATCCATCATGCTAGAGTTCTTATTTTCCAGCGTCATAGAAGGTTGAATTGAAGTTTTGTTGAGTTAAAAAGCATTTTAATTGCTGGAACTCTTTTAATCATGTTGGCCAAAGGCTAGTCACATTTCAATTGTCAATTCTTTGATATCAGGGTTCGTAAACAGTTAGTCAACGTCCCTTCCGATATAGTACGTTTGGATTCGCAGAAACACATTGATTTTAGTTCTAAATCACCGTACGGTGGTGGTCGACCTTGTCGTGTAAAACATAAGAACATGAAGAAAGGAGGTCAAGGTGGATCTGATGGTGAAGATGAAGATGAGAATTAGGACTGGGGTGAGAAACTTCTGTCAATCGCAGCGTGAATATTGAGCAATCCACACTCTCATATCTTTTGGTAAATTAAACAATCCAGCGTCTTCATTTTTTTAGATTCATAGTTTTCCTCCTTTGCCCTTGCCCAAATTGGGCCATATTTTGTCAGATTTTTTCTCTCTTCATTATCACTCATACAGAGAGGGTAACCCTCTGTCCAGTTGCTTATGTTTTTAAGTTTAATTTTTATGTTCATTTAGGTCTCTCTTCATGTGAAAGCTGTCATGTGGAATATATAAATCTTACAAGACATTGTAAATCAATCAATTAATTTTGAAGCACAATACAATCTTCTGTGTTGATTTTGTTGTGTATAGTATGGGTGAAGAAAGAAATAGTCTTAATGCAATAACAAAATTAAATTTTCGTGACATATTTATAACAATGGGATGTGCCATAAAATTATAAAACCTAAGGATTTGCCAAGAGCTGAAATTTTGTAAAGTTTGTACAAATTGTTGTATGTGCAATCAAATTGTCAAAATTGGATTAAATCCGTGTCGGATAATCCACGATATAAGGAAGGAACCTTTAAATTTTAAAGAATCTTTGCTAAAACAAACATGTTAATCAGATTGAAGATCATGGAATCGGGTAAAGATTAAGGATTACAAAGTAACAGTCCCAGTCTCCCAACGCTCTCGTCTAAATCTAAACAATAGTATGAAACAATATTGAAACAAAGCAAAGAAAAGTTTTTACGTTTTTATTAGTTGACTAAGTTGAGTGAAGCTTAGTACTTTCCCCGTGTTTCAAAAAAATTCATTAAACTACGGTGAAGTAAACATATTAAAAATGGCTCTTGAAAATACGGTCCAATTATCCGAGAAATACAAAGCAGTTATGGTTCTCAGTGGAGTGGGGGATGCTCTAGGTTATAAGAATGGTTTGTGGGAATTCTGTTACAGTGGTACTCAAATTCATGAAGAACTAGAAAAACTCGGAGGACTTGATAAAATTGACATTAAAGGATGGAGGGTTAGTGACGACACTGTACTACACATTGCTACAGCAGAAGCGTTGGTTTCTGAATGGACAACAACGGAAGAGTTATTGAGCATTATGGCTACAAAGTACAAGAAGACATGTGCTGAGGATATGTGGGAAAGAGCTCCTGGGCAGACCACAACAAAGGCATGTTTCATGTTACGACCTCTTGAGGAAAAAGGTTACATTATACCATTTAATGAACGAGGTGGAGGATGTGGTGCAGCTATGAGATCCATGTGTATAGGTTTGATGTTTCCTTGTGAAGATCAAATTGAAATGTTAATTGAAATTGCTGTTTAAAGTGGAAGGATGTCTCATAATCACCCCACAGGTATTCACCTTTCATAATAAAGCAACAATTTCAGATCATGAATCAATTATCAAGTCACTAATGTCTAGTGTTTTGTCTATCAACAAGTGTTGCTTTGTATACAGTTTGCTAGGTTTTCCTGTTATCTGCATTGCTTTTCATTTTAACAAGCCTTTATAGTAATTTAGCTTTTCAATCCTATTGCTTTTCTTAGCTAAATGTTTTATCTTCAACTCTTCCTTCGATTACTTACTTGATGAAGCCATTACCATGAATGTTTCATATCCTTTTATCTAATATCAATTTATAAATGAAATAAAAGAAGGTTGACCTTAGGTTTGCATAACTTGATGCAATCCATCATTTTCTAGAACCACATCTCAAATGCCCTCATCCTTCTAACATTGCTCACTTTAAATGACCATATCTTTGATCCATCCCTTTTATCGCTTTTCCACATTTCCAAATTTCTGTCTTCTAAAACTGAATTGCCATTGCTGTTTTGCTTTTATATCTTCACTACTACAGCCATTGAATCCATGATCCATATCAAAATGCTGCTATTATGTAAATAGGGTCATCATAATGTAAGTGACCTAAAATTAGCAATCTTTAAAGATAATGATTTTAATTATAGGTTATCTAGGGGCTGTTACTGCAGCTTTATATACAGCCTATGCTATACAGAAGATGGCTCCAAAAATTGGGAGCAGGACTTTTAAGTGTTTTACCCAAAGTTTGGGAATACATTGAGAAGGTTGGTCGTGATGTAGAAGAAAACAAGAAATCTTGGGGCTAATTTAAAAATAGTTGGGAGTCATATCTTGAACTACGGGGATTAATGAATGGAACCAGTGAACCAAAGTTTCCAGTGACATATAACATACCTGAACGTGATGCTTTTTATAAATCTGTCAGTTATGCATGTTGGGGTGGGTCCAGTGGTCATGATGCACCAATGATTGCTTACGATGCTTTGATGATGGCAAAAGATTCCTGGTTTCAATTGTGCTCTTGTTCTATGTTTCATGGTGGAGATAATGACAGCACAGGAATATTGGCTGCAGCATGGTGGGGTGGTATGTATGGTATTAAAGGTGTACCCCTTGGAAGTTATAGGAACCTGGAATATGGTCATAGGCTTATGGAACTGGGTAAAAAATTACTGAATGTATCAAAGAATATGAACATCTATCAGCATAGTATTTATTTAACAAAATTCTGTCATCTCAATATACTTTAGTACTGATACTGAATGTATCAAAGAATATGAACAACTAACAGGATAGTATTTATTTCACAGAATTCTGTCATCCCAATATACTTTAGTATGTTTGTAAATCATACAATAAAAATTAATACTTGGTTATAACATAAAAGCAAATTACTTTAGAAATAAAGTCTAAAGAAGAATGTCAGATTCAGGGCATGGGCAGTTCTAAGTTCTACTTAGGATGATTCCTGGCTGTAGAGTAAGTTTATTGACTAGATATCAGTGAAACTATATATAGACAAGGACCATTACATCTTTAGGTTCATTTTACCTCACAAAATGCAAATTGCAAACGTTTTATTCACTACCAAAAATACCTTCTGAGGGAGAGGGGAGCTGACTTGGCAGGTGGAAGCCTTGATCCTACGGTCTATGTGTTAAAAATAGGCTTAACATAATTTAGAAGGCACAATTTTCTTTGAAACACGTAGCTACCAAAGTGTAACTCTATAGCTTTGTCGTAGTTTCCAGTTTCATATAAAACCATACCAAGATTGTTTAAAGACTAGCGACATCAACATGATTTGGACCTAACGATTGTTTTCGAATTTCCAGAGCTTTTCGTAAACTCTATAGCTTTGTCGTAGTTTCCAGTTTTATGTAAACCATACCAAGATTGTTTAAAGACTAGCGACATCAACATGATTTGGACCTAACGATTGTTTTCGAATTTCCAGAGCTTTTCATGATGATTTTTAGCTTTGCTATACTTCCCGTGTCATGGTATAAAAGACCAAGGATGTTAAAATACCAAGCTTTGTCATAATTAGATTCTTCGTATTTATATTTACCCAATAGTTCGAGAGCAAGATCGTACTTTCCAAAATGTCTTAGTCTGTCAACAAAATATTGGAAAACTTGTAAAGTGTTCATGTTGATTTTTGTCTTGTTTGTCTTTAATAATTGAACAATTTTTTCAAGATGTGGCATTAATTTGATTTCGTCGTCTCTCTCTTTAAACATGTAAAGTGCTTTAGATATTTGATCAACGTTACTTTCCATTTCATGTTCTTCATTTGAATGTTCAGATTGATAAACAATAATTGCTTTGTGAACAATGCGATGTAGACTAATGTCATTATTTTCTGAATGCAAGAACAATGAGCAGTCCTTTAAACAAAGACATATATCTTCCTTTGAGTGTTTGGGATCTATTTTTTGAACATAAAAAACAATGATGTCTCGTGGTATAGGATCAAACGATATCACGGAAAAAAAGTTAATAACAATTGCCAATATTGTGGATTCTTCAGCATTTTGTCTGACTGCTAAAAGTGAAGCTTGTAACATACTTCTAGGATATACCGAGTTAAATTTAACAAAAATGGCGTCCATGTTTTCTTGTTCTTCTGAAAATATTTTCTTTAAATATTGTCTCCAAGTAAATGAGCAGTTTGCTTTGCTTACACGACTGACATAATAACCAGCAGCAGCCAAAGCCAGCGGTTGACGATCTAATGCGTTGGATACCTCATTCAACAATTGATCATCAGCATGTTCAATAGTGTAGTGCTTCAACAGTTGAAAACATTCCCTATCATTCATTCCACTTCTGATAGAAATATGTTTGTTAAACTCATCGTCTTGAGGTACGGCATCTGTGTTCTGGATAGTTACTATGATTTGTCCATTTATCCACATGGGATCACCTACTTGGGGAAGTAACGAAGAAATTTTGCTGAGCTGTACCACGTTGTCTACAATGATCAACCAAATTTGCCAGAATTTTAATCGTGTGGATACTGACGATCGCAAATTCTTCACTTTGTCTGCGATGGAACAGTTTTCATCTTCAAATTTTTTAATCATATCCTTGTCACAGTTTAAACGGTATCCAAGTTCACAGTAAGTTTTAAAAGAGATTCCTCATTTTTCCATCGAGAGTCATTACAAACGAAGTTCTATTTTTCCAATCACACGATATTTTTCACAAACCTGTCTTGCAAGTTGTGATTTACCACTGCCAGGATTACCAGTGATGTAAAATATGTCAGTTTATCATTGTTATCATTCTTTAATTTTTCAAGATCTTTTATAATTTTATCTCGTAATTCAGTGCGTTCAACGAAAAAATGATTAGGTTTTGAAGGAAGAACTTGAAATGAATTAAACAGTTTCGATGATTTTTATTTCATTGATTCCATCGAGGGAAAATTTCAAATCTTGAAATGATTTTTCAATGATACTGACTATATCATCAAAATCATCATCTGAGCATTGCTTTCATACCAATGTGCGTCTTGTTTCTTTCACCACGAAGTGCATGAACAGCATCCTTTGTTTTTTGTCAAGATGTTTCCAATTGAATTTGAAAAAGTATTGCATCAAATAATGTCGTACAGTCCCACTTACTTGTGTCTCCATCTTGATATTTTAATGTAGTTTTTATCTAACTTTCTACTTGATTCTAAAGTGTAAAATTTGTTCCCACTGTTGTGTGTATCATCCCATTCTCCATGTATTGATTTGTAACGAGAGTTCCATTCTTTGATGAAAAATTGAGCAAGTTCCTTTTGTACCACATTGATTACTCTTTTGATGTAAAATAGATTTCTGTTTTCTCTTGATTCCATCTAAAAAAATTTGTTGTATCAACAAGACAAGTAAAATCAAGCAATTCCAAAAATTTAATATACAAGATAAATGTATTAGTTATCATGAAAGTCGAGAATTTTTTACATTTGATGAAATCAAATATATTTTATTATACATGCATTTATTTAGTTACTCATTTATTTATTCAACTTCGCCTGCATCATGCTATAAATGCAAATGAACATAGGTAACTATTAAATAACAGGGTACATGCTACAGCTCTCGTCATTTAAAGCAGGCAAAATCACCAAACGAGACGTGTACGAACTTTTGAAAAAGCCTGGCTCCTAGAGGGTTAATATAAACAAATTCCTTAAACCGTAAAAACAACACGATATTTACAGGATAGTTCACATTTTTTATCGTCATGAACAGCAAATATAGCTATTCTTTTTAAGGATCGTTTAAAATGTTGTAATAGCCTTTTCTTCAATAGACTAAGGTTGATATTAATGCACTCTAGAGTCTAATGCACGTGTTTAAATATGACTTTTGAATTTTTTTGTTTTGCAACCAATTGTAACAAATGATAGATGATTTGGATAGCACCCAATTGTGTTTTTTATAACTACGACGATTGACAGTTTAATGGTCAAATTTCTTCATCAATTTTAAGAGCATGAACTCCTAATATCAGGCAAAAGTTAATGTAGTCAATGAACTATTTTCTTTTATTGTTTACTTGAAATGTAAGTTTTTAACAAATGCTGATGAAATAATGCCTTTTTTTTGAGGGGGTGTGGGGGGGGGTTAATTATAAGTCAGCCGCAAAATGTTTCCTTTTGTCGAGGGTGCTCAAATTCTTTAGGGCAACTATTTTAACTACTCTCAAAGTTTTAGGTAAAATTTTATTGCATTTAAAAATACAATTGCATCTCTAATCTGAAGAGCAAGATATATTAAGTGTTTCTCAGCTTTTACAAAGGCTTTTCCGTTGCACAAAATGCTAAAAGCAGAATGTCGCAAGCCATGCAAAGTGCACGCTAGGACTTGAAATGAGAGGCAGGAGGTTCTGATCAACTTGATAAGGGAGAAAAGATTGTTTACATGTGTGTTTGCGAGGACAAAAATCAGTAGTTAACTGCATGGTCATACTCCTTGCTGTTTCGTGCAAATTCAAAACTTGGACAAACAATGAATGTATAAACAAGCATCATTTTTCTGACGATTTCAAGAAACATAAAATGAAACTTTGTTTTTCAATTTTATAAAATGTTGAACTTGATGAACAGAGATTTTTACCAGTGTGTTGAAGTTATTTTTAAGAACAGAAAGAGACACGGCATAATGAGGATAAAGGCCTAATAAGAAGAAAATGTAAATATAAATGAAGGTTGTCTAACATTTGTCTAAAAAAGAGCTGGCATTCAGTGGACATGATAAATCAAGCTTTAGTTTGAATCAACACAATTATAGAAATTCTCCAAAGTCATTTGTAAAATTGTTTTCTGTTTTTGACTAGCATGAAAGCAACCACTTTAGCACGAAAGAACTGAGCAGTTTCTGTTTTCATTATTGTATCACCTGGATTCCTGAATAAGTTGAGTGTCTTTATTGATGAAGCTATTAGATTGATGAGAAAACCGGGGATTCTCAGTTTCTTTTTAATTAATGCGATGATACTTTGCATATATTAACCACAAAACAGCTTATTGATTTATTAAATCGTTTTCAACATTTCAGCATTGAGTACATTGCCAAAGGATTTTTACGGCAAAGCTTTTTATGCAGATTTTTCATAAATATAGATGTATCCTGTACTTAATGAAACATGGAGAACTTTCATGATTTGGTTTTGTGGAAATATATTTAAAGAGCCCAGGGGCTAAATTTCCCGTGCAGATTATTGAAAAGAGTTGTTGTAGGAATGTGTTTTTTTACCTCTGGTAATTTTATTCTAAAACTATCATATTTCATGAGAAATATTATCATCATATTTTTATCATTCTCTTCATCTTACATTCACATCATATCCTGCTTTAAAATATCAATAACAAGATGATTTTATTGAATATGATTATATTTATGGAACACCAAATTTTAATAATTCATATTTTTCTGCCTTAAATACATGTGAGGAAACATATGGAAAATTGTATTATGAGTTTGAAATGACTGAGATGAGATGTACAATAGAGTAACTGTATAAAAACGAAATGATCCAAAAGTTTCTTAGTCTAACCAAACTTCTTTTCTTTCTTTCCACAGGTGTGAAAGACAAACTTCTAGCACATTATGCTTTGAACTGATAGCTTTAACTTGGGGATAAAACCTTTTTTTTGCCAAAATTTGTTATAGAAATATGAAAGTCTATGAATTGTATCATTTTTCACTGACAATTCAAAAAAATCTATATTTCTGAACTATTAGTACCATTACTAAACGCGAAAAACTCCTTTTACCAACCTAAATTAAACATCTTAGCAGATTTTTTGCGAGAAAAGAAGAAAACAAAAGACTTTGCAACTTAACAGAGACTTACAAAATTAGAATATAAGCAGGGCTGCATCACCATTCCCCAGATCAACACCTCAAAGTCAGTACAAAAACTTCTTTAACAGGAATTTTACAAGTCCATCAAAACTTATCACCTTTAGATTTACTATATCAGCCAATAGGGAGACGTTTCGCTCAATTTTGCAATAGTTGGAAAAAATTTAAAATGACATTTAGTTCTTGGAGTCAGTAAAAGGATACAAAATAGAGTACAACCATTACTCGAACCAATCTTGCATACAAAAATGCATGTGTTTCCTTTGCAGAATCAAGTTTAATAGATCTCAAGGTGTAAGCACAATACTAAAAGAATGCTACCAAAACAAAACAAGTATCATACAAATCAGTTTGTAAGATCCTTGTTCACTGTACACAAAAACTGCGTTAACAAAGACTAGTAATAAATCTAAAAAAGTTGAACAAGTGTACAGAATATCAACACTTGGAAGACATACCAATGTTAAAGGACCTCCTAAAATTAGGATAGTTTCTCAAAAAAGTAGATTTAAAGGACGCATAACCTTCTAAGCCAATTTGGCCTACATTTAAAACGTTTCTACATTTTGAGAAGAAAAAAAATATTTAGGAATTTCGTTGCCTTTCATTTAGCCTGCAAGGTACCATCCCCCTTCTTATCAACCTGCGAAAACCAGTTGTTGCCCTGTTGACAAAATTAGATGTCGAACTCATAATTTACTTTGACGACATCCTAACCAAGGTCGAGTCCAAAGAGATTCAAGAACACTCAGGTTTAGTAATCAACCTGTTAAAGAGTTTAGGTTCTGTCATAAGTAAACAAACAAAAGACAGCATTCGAACCCACTCACGATATAGAATTTCTGCCTTTCTGAGTCACTTCAATTCAATATCAATGTCTCTAACAAAAAATCTGGACCAGCAAAAAGGAATTCCACAGGTTGTTGAACAAATCCTCTTTTGAAGTCAAAGTACTCTCTCGACTTTGGGGAAGTTCAATCTTGTGTGGCGGTGGCTAACACTAGTGAGAAACCAGAAGGTAGAATGTGGAGGTTTTTAACACTAGTGAAAGACCAGAAGGTGGAACTGTAGTGGTGGTTAATACTAGTGAGAGACCAGAAGGTGGAACAGCTGTGCATAATAACCTCTGTATGAGGCACTAAATCGTGGTGCCCTCTTTCACTAGAAGTAGACTCTCTCAGAATCCTTCCATCACATCAAAATCTGCTAACTGACACAGGAGTTCACACCTCCTGTCTCACCTGCAGCTACCAGGATAACTTATCTCAGCCATCTCATACTGGTTAAAAGAGTTCATATGCTTAGTTCGTTATGCTGTGTCATCAACTTTAGCATTAATGCCATGTCTTTTAGGCAACTATTAGCTACAATAGATTAATACGACCAAATACTATTCTTGAGTAGCCCGAGCGAGTGGACGCCTAAATAGGCGTTTAGTTTGAATCAAAACTATGGAGAGCCAGACTTCTCGAGTAAAAAAAGGGCTGATACATGCAAGGAAATATTTTTATTAGTACACCTAATGTCCAGAATAATTGATTTCATATGAATCGATGAAGTTTTTGATGAAACTTTCCATGCATAGAACAATAAAAAACAGGTTATCTATGTTATCCGTCTGATAGATGATAACAGTGAGGATATTTTTAAAAGATTTCTAAAATTCCAGCATTGATTGCAAAGTCATAACAATTTTCACGTCGAGGCTTTTAGTGCAGAATCTTTAAAAATATATGTGTATTTAATGAAACATGGGGAACCAAAACCTAAAGCAACTACTTTTTATAAGAAATATCATCATCATAATATTCTTAATCTCTAAAAAATCAAAGTCGAAGTGATCCTATAGAGGTGATCGATTTTTTTGAAAAACAAATTTTAATATTTTATGTCTTAGTGGAGGACACTGCTTAGGTATAGTGCATCGGGGAGAGGTTTATGAGCTATGACTAATTCTTAGCATTTAGAGCTTTCTAATAAAGAATTGTCTTGACGTGATAAACTTTTGTTTACTGCTTTAATAGAATGGTTTTACAGATCACAAAATTAACTGCTACGTGAGCTTGATAAGTGTCAACTTAAGAGTTAGTCTCGCCATCTCAAGCTAAAAAATAGTCTATGAACGTGAAGTCAAAATGAATGCCATTTACAATTATTGCGTATTAACAACAAACACCTTCCAACCCATCGAACAGAACTGTACTGCTGAATTTGAAGTATTTTAAAAAAAGACTTTCATTTATATCGTAGTGTTCAGGAGTTTTGTGTTTAGTTTTATTAATCCATTATCTGTTACAAATATTTGCGGTCATCTTAAGCGATGAAGCTTTGTTGTTGCTCTGACGAGCTTTTTACACTTGAACGAATTCCCCCACCAATTGTTGCCGATTATATAGCAATGTAAAAGTTAAACATATTGTCTTGCCGTGCATCTTGTATAATGCCTTACCGATAATGTATTTATTTGATGTACCATGTTTATACCTGATTCTTAAGCTGGCAAAGCAACTAAATCAATGAATTTCTTTATTATCTTCGAACTAATCATTAATAGCTCTCGTTTCTAAGCCGATTTTGCAAAAATTAGAAGGAAACGCAGCAAAACCGAAAAGTAAAAATGATAACCGGTGAAATTCTCCTTTTCACCGTTTTTCATAGAGTTTACTGTATAAAAGTGGGAAAAAGAGTGTAATTTAGTTGATTATGGTTAACATTGCTAAATATTATTCAAATCATACATGAATTATGCATAAATTTTGAAAATTTTCCGTGCTGCGCTCTCCCGTTTTGATGTACCTTAAATGATTGCCACTTGTTATAAACTTATGAGTTAAAAGGGACTGCGACAAGATTAACAATCAAGCAATTGTACAAAAATGATATTATAGAGAAAGTTTCCTATGCCTAACAAATTTTTTTCCTTTGCATGAGAAGTTTGTAAGGAAGTGCCTGGTATTATAAGCTTTGCACAAAGCCGTCTATAACAAGTTATCAATGATGTCAGATATTGTGTTTTTAGTATAAAGTCTAAAAGTTTGTTTGCAATAAATGGTATTTTTCAGGCACTTCAAAAAGGTACATTTCTAAAGTAGTAGCATTATACTAAAAGTCAAAGACTCGAAGCGCCTTGTGTGTTGCCTTGCCAATGCTGTATTTGTTTGCTGTACTGGATGCCCTTGTTGCCTTGACGATTTCGTTTAGCTGAGCAAAGCAATTAAATCAATGAAATTCTTTGTTAGATTCAAACAAAACAATGTCCTGTTTCTATGCTGATTTTGTAAGAATTAGCCATGAAATTAGCAGGAAACGCAGTAAAATGGTCGAAAAGCAAAAATGACAATAACTCATTCATAGAGATAGACAGGGAATTTTTTAAAAAACTCAGAGATAGCTTTTATAATGATGATCCAGTGTACAGTGAACAATCCAAGAAGAAAGTAATGAGGTTGTATGAGTCAGCAAGTGAGCGATTGGCTGCGGGAGGATTTAGGCTTAGAAAGTGGCTAAATAACGATGAGAATGTTTTGAAAGAAATAGAAAAGAGAGAAAGAAGAATTTAGGAGAAAGAATGGCAGAATTTAGTAATTCGAAAGTGGTTGTTGAACAAACTGATGCTAAAGCATCAGTTGGGGAAATTAGTATCATTGGAAGTTTTGAGAAAGTACTAGGATTGGGATGGGAGTGTAAGTTGGATCGCTTTGTATTTAGCCTCTGGAAATTGGCTGAAAGAGCAAAGGCATTCATCCCAAGTAAACGAAATATACTAAGTATACTTGCAGGAGTATTCGATCCTTTAGGTATCATAAGTCCAGTTGTAGTTTGTGCTAAGTTATTGTTTCAGGAGCTGTGTATTGAGAAAGCTGAATGGGATAATGAGCTGGAAGGTGACAAGGAAAAACGTTGGGAGAGATGGATAGAAGATTTAGAGAGAGTCAGGGATTTAGTTGTGGCGAGATGTGTGTATGGTAATTTACTTGGTAAGGTAAAGTGTTACTTGCATGGGTACGCAGATGCCAGCCAAAAGGCATACTGTGCGGTCGCAAATTGCAGGATTTGTAGAAGCCATCAAGGAGAGGCTTATAAAACACCAGTGCAAGCAGATTTAGCAGATTTTAGAGTTCAGTATTCGCCACCCTTTTCTAAAGTAGGAGTAGATTTTGCTGGTCCATTGTTTGCAAAAGAAGGTGGACAGATGGTAAAAGTATACATCGCACTATTTTCCTGCTGTGCTACAAGAGCAATTTGTCTTCATTTAGTTGATAGTTTAAGTGCACTTTGTTTTTTGAATTGTATGCGAAGATTTACTGCTAGAATGTGAGCACCCTCGCTAATAGTTTGGGACAACGCCAAAACATTTAAAGCAACTGAGAAAGCGTTGAATGGGATTTATGAAATTAAGGAAGCAAAATCATATTTGGAAGGAAATCTGTTGGTATAGAAGTTTAATTTGGCGAGGATACCCTGGTTGGGTGGATTTTTTGAAAGAATGGTAGCATTGGTGAAAGGCTGTTAGGTATTTAGCGAGATTGAGAAAGCATTTTTTATCCAGTTGGAGGAAGGAATACTTAACAAGTATAAGTGAGTGTCATAAGGTTGGTAAAGTAAAGGGTAGTTTGTGTCCGAAAGTAAGTGATGTAGTTCTTGTGTTTAAGGAAAGTTTGAAAAGAGGATTTTGGAAAACAGCAAGAATTGAGAGATTGATCAATGGAAAAGATAATATAGTCTGAGGAGCGCAAGTCAAAGTTGTTAGCAAGGGAAAGCCACTGCACATAAGCAGGCCTCTTCAGAAACTGTATCCACTAGAGATGAATGCAAAGGTAAGTAAAGAAAAGTCAGCGTCCTACATGTAGAAAATACAATCATTCCCTCCCAATCCTTTTGAACAGGTTTTACTGTTTTTCTTACCATGCAGCTTATGGTCAATAGTTAAAAAGTTGGTATATCAATTTAGATATGATTTCTCATGCATGTTTATCCATACTTCATCTAGATGTTTCCTTAGCTAATTTGTTAAGTCCGTAATGTGGATATAAATCTCGCTTTACTTTTGTAAAATTACCTTTGTTTTAGAAGTAAGACTTCATATCTGACGACCTCGTCGTCCAAATTAAGCTTGCTTCAGTTCTTTACATGTCACATACCTAACAAAGGATGAGAGATTTATTAAAAAGAACGTGACCACATACATATCAGTTTAAAAATGGTGATCATAATTCATACCTTATTGTTACATCAATCTTTTATCCATGTGAGTTTTGTTACATAAACACATTTAAATAGTGAACGAAGATGAAGAGTGAGTCAGGATCTCCTTCAACAAACAGTATTATAAAACATTAATGACGTCTATTTAGAACATACTAGTTATATAACAAAGTATACATCACTGACTAAAAACAATTGTTATAGAAGTAAAAATACATCAATAAGAACCTCTTGCAGAGTACATAATGACTTTGAGATTGCTCAAATTCCAAATGACTACTGCTAAATCTTATAAAGTTTCACAAGTTTTAACTCAGGAATAGAGAATCATCTATCTAAAACAGGATGCCAATGATTAAGGCACGATTTTCGAAACTGTGAATGGATTTTTTTCCTTCATTAATGAAAAATTCCATACATGTATATTATTGCAAAAGTCAGTTCTTATTATAAAAATCCTTTGTTATTAAATAAACCATTGTAAATTACAAATACATGGCAAACATTAATTGCACGCAATTATATTTACTTATGATCAATAAAGAAACTGTGGATACAACAGTAAAGTTTGCAATGAAAGTAAACCTTAAACCTGTTAAACATGATCAAAAGTATATTTTTAAAAGCTCACTGTGTTGCATGAATGAACATTTCACAAAAATAGATTCGGTTGCGTCTTTCTCTGTGTAAACATATTCTTCCTGTGTTCAACATTTGCTTATATTACAAATGTTCTTACTTTTAAAATGAAAGGTTTGCTTAATACAACTATTAACATTTTGCTAGACACACAAAGATTAGTCAAAAGTGGCTTCGGCAAAAAATGGAGGTGATGCATGATTGGACATGCTATCCCTTCTACATAAATTTTCACAGATTCCCATTTTTTCTATAGACAAGTATGCTATTTGACCTCTCACATACCTTTGAACAGGTTTTGCTTTCCTTTACCATGCAGCTTATTGTCAATAGTTAGAAAGTTGGTATATCAATTTAGATATGATTTCTCATGCATGTTTAGTCATACATTATCGAGATGCTTCAGTAGCAAAGTTGTTATGTAAAGTTAGTAATATAGTTTCAGAATATTGCTTTACTTTCGAAAAGGCACCTACGTTTTAGAAACAAGACTTCATACTTGACGACCGTGTAGACAAAATTATGCTTGCTTTAGTTCTTTACATGTCACATATTTTACAAAGATAAGAGATTTAATATAAAGAACGCGACCACATACATATCAGTTCAAAAATGGTGATAATAATTCATACCTTATTATTACATCAATCTTTTATCCATGTAAGTTTTGTTACATAAACACATTTAAATAGCGAGCGAAGATGAAGAGTGAGTAAGGATCTCTTTCATCAAACAGTATTATAAAACATTAATGACGCCTATGTAGAACATTCTAGTTATATAACTAAGTATACATCACTGACTAAAAACAATTTTTATAAAAATAAAAATACATAAATAAGAACCTCATGCAGAGTACATAATAACATTGAGATTAGTCAAATTCCAAAGGACTACTGCTAAATAATATAAAGTTTCACAAGTTTTAACGCAGGAATAAAGGGATCATCTTTCTAAAACAGGATTTGAATGTGAATGATTAAGACACAATTTTTGAATTTTAAAATCGATTTTTTTACTTCGCTAATAAAAAATTCCATACATGCATATTATTGCAAAAGTCAGTTCAAATTATAAAAAGACCTTTGTTATTGAATAAACCATTGTAAATTATCAATACATTTTAATTATCAATTGAACGCAATTGCAAATGCTTATGATCAATAAAAAAACGCTATACATATGCAATGAAAGTAAACTTTAACACTGTTAAACTAAAATATGATCATAAGTATAGTTTTGAAAGCTCTGTGTTGCATGAATCAACAATTCACAAAAAATAGATTCGGTCGCGTTATTCCTCTGTGTGTAAATACATTCTTCCTGTGTTTAACTTTTGCTTGTTTTTTAAATTTTCTTATTTCTGAAAGAAATGGTTTGTTGTACACAACTATCAACATTCTCTTAGACACACAGAGTTTAGTCAAAAGTGGCGTCAGCAAAGAAGGGAGGTGATGCATGATTGGACATGCTACCTCCCCCCAACATAAATTTTCACAGATTCCCATTTTTTCCATAGACAAGTATGCTATTTCAACTCTCCCATACTTTTGAAAAGGTTTTGCTTTCCTTTACCATGCAGCTTATTGTCAATAGTTAGAAAGTTTGTATATCAATTTAGATATGATTTCTCATGCATGTTTAGTCATACATTATCGAGATCCTTCAATAGCGAAATTGTTATGTAAAGTTAGTAATATAGTTTCAGAATCTCGCTTTACTTTCGACAAATTATCTACGTTTTAGAAACAAGACTTTATATATGACGACCGTGTGAACAAAATTATGCTTGCTTTACTTCTTTACATGTCACATACTTAACAAACGGATGAGAGATTTAATGAAAACAACGTGACCACATACATATTAGTTAAAAATGGTGATCATAGTTCATGCCTTATTGTAACATCAATCTTTTATCCATGCACGTTTTAATACATAAACACATTTAAATAACGAAGATGAAGAGTGAGTCAGGATCTCTTTCAACAAACGGTATTATAAAACATTAATGACATCTATGTAGAACATCTATGTAGAGACAGTTAATATCAACATTCCTCACGACTCTACTCTGATCTGGACGATTTACATCTACAAACACGTAATTACCGTCAATGACGTCTGTGATATTTGGTTTAACAGAATTTGTACTCTCTCATCCCCACCCGCCCCAAATGTTCCCCCTCTCTTTGTGACGTCCTGCCATTTGCCTCAAATATTTCATTTACATCATTTCCGTTGCCCATATTGGTAAATTTCCGTGAATTGTCTTCTTTTGTGAACTGCTTCAATAATACTGTCGTGTATCGTGGATATAATTTACATGTAGAAAACACTTTGTATTTTCTCCTAACTTTCTTCATGCTAGCATGGGTGGTGAGAGTTGATATGTGGTGATATCAAGCGATCATAAGGTACTCGTATATACATACTTTGTTAATATCTAATTATTTTTAATTATTTTTCTAATTGTCCGACAAATAAAACTATTTTTTTTACATGTTAGTTCAGTGGAGATTATGTTGAACTTGGCAAGTGTAGATATTACAAAGCAAGCAATTATTGATCGCTTGTTGGATGGAGTAAAGCAAGTTAGTTTTAAAATATTTGTACGTAGTTTAAAGTTCGAACTTGGAACTTGTAATTTCGTTTCGTCTTTTATTGTATTGATTTTACTCGAATGATTTGGTCGACTTGAACCTCGTCGTTTCTTTAGTGTCAGGTACGATTTGGTAGTACAACCGAATTGGCTTCTGAGAAGGATAGCAGGTGAACTTGATATTTCTTCGATTGCATTGTATTGTATTCATTTTATTTCATAGTATAATCCTTATTTATCATAATCTTTGTATTTATGATGAATTACAGAATCTCTTGTCTTTGTGAGCAATGGAACATTGTTCTTCAATTTGGCATTAAATCCACAAAAGATAAATTCTTTAAGGTATCTTCATCATTCCTCTCTCAATTCAGTCAATTTAAAAGCCATTCTTAAATAATTTGTTTTCATCATTTCTATGTTCATTAAAGGCAGGTGTTAATGAGATCTGAAGGTCAATCTGTGTTCTGGCTATTTATCAAGGAACATCTTAGCTCTAGTGAAATAAAGACATATAATTCTTTACATAATGTAATGACAGATGTTGGTAGAGGTTGGTCAAGTTGTTGGTTTCTAAATGATTCCAGGAATGTTTGTGGGTAAAACCTTTTGTATGCCATGAATTTGTTCTGACATTTTTCTTTCTATTTTGATATTTATTTGACAGCTCAAGCATGGCTTAGGTCTAGTTTAAACGAGCAATCACTGGAGAAATATCTTCATAGCTTCATTGGGCATAAACAATTGCTTTTGTAAGTTTGATTTAAGTAACATTTAAGAAAGAAAGATCAATCTTGGCTTGATAAGCTATATGATTATCATAACCAATGTATAATGCGATATAGTAATGCAATTTTCTTTTAACGGTAAGCTGTTGATGTCAGAATAATTATATGATGTGTAATTGTTTTAATTTCAGTCAGTATTATGAGCAAGATGCATTATTATTGGATGATGAACGATCTAGTATGTTACCAATGATGGCTGCTGGTAAGAATAAACTTGTTTATATTTCTATAATGGATTTTTTATCATTCCTTGTTTCTTCTTTAAGGCTTAAGTTCAATTCTTTTTGCAATTGACATTGACAAAGCTGAGTTTAACTCTATTACTGTACAGGTATGCTGGAATGCTATTGATATTGTTTAAAATGAATCTTTGCAAATAGAAATGGATAGTAAAAAAGTGGAAGCTATGAATGTACTTTTCTTTAACTACTTGAATTTAATTTAATTTTTAGATTCCAGGCAATATCAGCCAAGCAGTTTCTCGTCCAACATCAATATGGGCTGTACCATCACCAATGTATGCGACGTCAGGAGCTCCTGGTGAAGTTTGTTAAATACAACATTTTAAGAAAATAAAGATTTGATCAGAATTTCATTTTTCTCTCCTGATCAAAAATATCCCTTTTATCCCTAATTATCCCTACCATTCATCTCATATATCGCTAATCTTATCATTCCTTAACCACACATGTCATTTATTCCTTGTAATCCCCCAACCATGCGTTCTCCTTAACCTTTATTATCCCATTATTACATGTCTTCATTTATCCCTTAACTATACCTGTTGTTTATTCATCCCTTATCATCCCTTAACCGCGCGTCCTCATTTATTCTTTATCATACTTGAACAATGCGTAGTCATTTATCCACGCGTCTTTATTAATTTGTAACTTTTATCTTTCTTTTGTGTTTCAGGAAAGAAAAGAAAAACGTAAAAAGAAAGCAAACATTGCTCAAATTGAAAATGTTGAATTCAAAGAGACGGAAGAAGGAACTTCTACTGTCAGTTCTCATGGTAGTTCTTCCA